CCAGCCTGAGCTCGCTGCCGGCAGGGAGAGTTTTGGAGTCCGGCTGAACAAAGTCCAAAGCAGGGCTGTCGCTGCCTCCCTGGGGGCCCCTGGGGACTCACCACCCCTCTCTGGAAGTCCTCTCTGAGCCTGTTTTGTTCTCTGGAACAGCAGTCCTTACCTCATCCCTAAGGATGCCGGGCGCATAGTAGGTGGCCCAGTGCATGCCAAGTCTGACCAGAGTGAGATCCAACTGGACAGCAAATAAGTCAACATGCGGGGATCCAATATGGGAGGGAGGATGGGAAGGGAAGGATGGGAAACATTCCAGGCAGAGGGCATGGCCCGAGCAAAGGCCCAGTGCTGTACCTTGCAGGGCACCCAGGGCCATCTCTCCTCGTAGGAGGCTGACCACAGGCAAGGTGCTAGGGCCTGCCCTCCATGTATGCCTTTATGCACACTGAGCTTGCGAAAGGTACACTGTCACCAAGTGCTGGCTGCTGGATGGAGCCAGTACTGCCCAGCCAAGTTCTACTCTCTGGGTCCAGGAGAAGGAACCCCAGTCTCGGAGCCAAGCCCTCTTAAACTGGAAGGTCCCCAAGTAAGGGATCATTGAAACTCCTTGCAGGGACTGTGAGAGCCCAGAGGTTGGCAAACTAGCCCGTGCCCCAGCAAACAGAATGGCAAGTGGATCCAGGCACAGCCACACACCTATGTGTGCGTCCCATGTCCTGTGCGCACCCTCCTTTGCCACGGGGCCACACCACCCGACCTTTGCCCAGTCTGTACCCTGCCTGGAAGTCCTTCCCTCTGTCTCTTCCCGTTAAAGTCCGTTTCACCCTGCACCCCACCCTCCTTGCTCTCTGCCCTGCAGGGGTGTCAGCCCGGTGTTCTGGGTGCTCTGGGCTCAAGATCTTGTCTCCCGACCTGGCTACAGATGCCCCAGTTTGAAGGTCAATGCCAGGTCCAGGTGGACCCTCAGTGGAGGGTGGCAACTCCCCCGGGCAGTGGCTGGGCAGGCCCAGAAGGCTCAGGGTCACCTGCCAGGGCCCTTGGACAGAAGCTCAGGGCACCCCAGAGTGAGGGCCTGGGCTTCCAGTGACACAGGGCTCCTGTGGCCCAGGCAGACAGGGGGCCTTCCCAGGCATCTAGGTCTGGTCTGGCTCTTTGGGGAGCAGAGGGGCAGGCCCCTCCTGGAGGGGAGCACAGGATATGGGGCCACCAGCCCGGGCTCTCCATGTGTCCGGCCGGCCCCAGCATCCTGCCCGGGGGAGGATGGGAGTTCTGGAAGCTTCTCCTGTCCTGGGACAAGACCCCCCCTCCTACTTCATGGGACCTCAGAGGTTGGGAGGGGTGGGCTAGGGAGAGCATCTTTTCTCTCGAACCACACAGGCCCTGCACTGCCCCAGTGGGAGCCGGAAGGGCACCCAGGCCAAAGGGACCACCGTGGCAAAGGCCCCGCCAGGCGGCTCATTTGCATGCAGGGGCCACCGAGGCGGGAGCCGGCGCTGCCGCCACCGCCGAGTGGATTTGAGCAGAAGCTCCGTTTTCTTTCTGTTCTTGTCTCTCTCTCTCAAGGTCAGAGCCCAAGCAGGGACAGGAACAAAGGCGGCTCGTCCCCCATTCAACCTCCCTGTGCCCGGCCAGCCTCTCTGATAGGAAGGGGCTGGGGAGGGGAGGGCAGGGCTGGGCAGCCCGAGGCCCAGCCCCGGGCAAGCCTGCCCCAGGGAGCCCCTGCCCCGCCAGGGCGCTACTGTGGGTGCCTGAGCTCTGTCCCCTTCAGGGCTGGGGGCCCTTCTAGCCTCCAGGCTTAGCCCGCAGGGGCTTGCTGAGGCCACGGGGTCACTCTGGAATAAGCTTCCTTTGGAGTCAAGGGTCGGAGGTCAGGCTCACTCTGGAGACGGGGTTGCTCAGGGTCAGCGGTTATCCAGGGTTGGCCGTCAGCCCCAGTTCAGGACCCAGGGCAGACTCTTTGGTGGGGGTCTGCCCCAGACTCGGGGAGGGTCTTTCTTGTCTGGCCGAAGCCTGCACCCAGCACCCTGGCCTGTCTGCCACCGCCTGCAGGCACCTTGGCAGCCTGCAGGGCAAGGCTGTGGGGCTGGGCATCAGGTCTGCAGCCCCTCAGCCTTCAAAGGCCCCCTCACCGTGGAGGAAGCTAAAAATATGCGGGGAGAAATTTCTCATTACAGAATAAATTGGACCAAATCCGCTGCCTGCTCCGGCTTGAATGATTTTCAGAGGCCCCGTCTTGGCCAGGCGGGGACCAGGCGCTAGGGGGTCACAAAGTGGGGGAGGACAGGTTGCTCCGCTCCTGGTGGGAGCCCCAACCACCGCCCACATCCCTCTCCCACCTGTGGAGGGGGACTCAGCCCCAGGGTCAAGCAGGGTGTCGCCTGGGCTTTAGGTCTTGTCCTTGAAAATAAAATTGTGTCCCTTTCCCTTGCTGGTAAGTTGAAATGCCCATCTCCCTGTGCACTAGGCCCTTGATACCTCAGCTTGAACCCCAAGATCATGGCAACCCCCATGCTCTGGCCAGTAAGAGACCGGCTGCACCCCTCCCTCACCCTCCAGCCTACTCCTACAGCCCCGACGCCAGGTGCTGACACAGATCTGAGCTCCAATGTCCAGACACCAGCAGTGTCCACTACTCCCCACCCGCACGGAGCCACGCAGGCACCGCCAGCTCCACCAGAGCCGAGGTACAGATTTCACACTGTATGTGTTTTAATGAAGTGTATGTAAGTAGCCACACATGGCCTCCTATCCACAGCAAAGCGCTCACTGTCTCAGGGCCTTGCTGGCCCGGGTGTGGACATCGGAGCCCCAGGGCCCCTAGAGAGGAAGAAACAGGGCAAGGGTCCGACCGTGGTGACCCCGGGGAGGGGCACAGCATCCTCCAGTACGGTCCCCTGGGCGAGCATTGTGCAGTGTGTGGGCCGTGTCTGTGGGACACCCTGGTGCTAGGGCCACAGCCCCGTCCCCATGTCCCCAGGAAACACTGTGAGGCAGCTACCCACACCAGTGGAGCTCGAGCCACCCCCTTAAGGACCCCGTGTCTAGCCTGCGGGGCTGCCGCACAGCGTCCACCTGTCCCTATTTCCCAGATGGAGAAGCTGGAGCCCCACAGCCAGTCAACCAGGACACCAGCCTGGACCCCTGGCCACGGGGTCTATTCGGTGCTTGTCCAGTGGCACGTGGTGGGGGTGCCGTGTGTGTGTCCCATGAGGCTGTGTCCATCCCATACATGTAACCATCCGTGTTGCATGTCCTGTGTCTTCGGGGTTGGGTTTTGTGCCTGTGCACGTGGGTTTGAGTGCCTGAGGTGGAGTCGCCAGGAGCCCCCTTCCGTGTTCCCGTGCGTGGGCACTCACGCACACGCACACATGCACGTGCACACATGTGGAGGGCTGGCTGGGACCCGGGGCCTTTCATCTCATGCTGACAGGCCCCTCTCTGGCTTTTAGCCTCTGAGAACTCCCAGCTAATAGTGCATTAACCTTGGCGGGGGCTGCCAATTATGCCCGCTAACGCTGGGGTGCGGGCGCAGTGGACGGGCCCTGACAGGCAGAGGGGAAGGCAAGAGGCGGAGCCCCTCTCCCCACCAAGGGGGCGGGAGGCGGCGGGGCGGGGGAGCAGCCTGTTCCGGCTCCGGATGGAAGAGCGAGGGTCTCTCCTGACCTCATTAGGGTAATTAACGCGCCTTTTGAAGCTCTAGAAATCGCTCAGAGCTGTGGGAGGGGGCCGCAGATCACAGGGTGGGGGCCTGAGATGGTGTCTTCGCGCCTGTGAAAAGCATGTCCCAGTGGGTCAGACAGAGAGACACAAGCCGTTGAGGGGCAGATGGAGAGGCACAGCCGGAGTTCAGAGGCAGAGACAGGCCCACAGGGACAGACAGGGAAACTGCAGCCAGAGCCCAAAGGCAGGGGTGCAGCCAGCCAGCCCCAGGCCCACGCACAGCCAGGAGGGCTGTCTGGGGCCTCCACCCTCACTTTGGGGGCTACTCCTAAGTACCAGGCAGGGGACAGGCAGTCAGGGAGGTCTGCCTAGAGGAAGCAGCAGCTGAGGCTGCAGCAGGCAGGCATGGGCGTTCTAGAGGGGAAATGTGAGGTGCTCGAGGGAGGCCACTAGGGATGAGGACAGTGGATCCTGACTGGAGTGGAGCCAGCCCTGGCGGTGGACAGGGACTCAGGCTGGAACCTGCAAGATCACGAGGTTCTGGGGGTCCAGCAGGCCCTGCCCATCCCATGGTGGGTATGGGGCTAGGTGGGGCTCGGGAGGAGGTGCAAGAAATGGGCCCCCAGTGGGACCTGTTTCCCTAGCTGGCCCCGGGTTTGGCCCCTGGGGAGAAACCTGGGGGGGAGCTGGTCAAAGGAGGCCAGGCGGTGCGAGGTTGCCACCTAGCGGTGGCTCTGCCTCATGACAGGGCGGTGGTGGCTTGGCCAGCTGGCCTGGGGAAAACTTTGGCCACTGTGGCCACCAGCCTCCCCTAGGCCTCTCCAAGGCCAAACCAGCAAGGGGAGAGGGTGACAAGCCAGAGCTGGACTCTACCCAGACCCAACAGCCTGCAGGAAGAACATGCCCACAGGGAAAGCAATCTGGTGCCTTGCCCAGGGTGTCTTGGACTCTACAGGTGGACTGGGGGGGGGGGGGACTCAGGCTCTGGGGAACTCCAGTCCCCTACACCACTGCTCTGGGGCTCCTCTGGAAGCTCCCCCAAGGGTGCCATGATGAGGGATCCCCGAGGGCCTGGTCCTTGAGCCCAGGCTGAAGAGGCACAAAAGAGGGAGCCCCAGAGGTGCCGAGTAGTACACCCTTGTCCCAGGAGGCTGGAAATGGATCCTCCTCCCTTCTCTGCCTACCAAGTGAGATTCCTGGAGAAGCCCAGGTTGCTCACAAATGGGGAAACTGAGGCCACCTTGAGCCCCACCTTGCGCTCTCAAGGCAAGAGCCCTTGCTCTGCCATCTACCCACACCGGCTGAACCAGGATGCCTGGGTCTAGACGCAGAGGACTGATGCCAGCTACAGAAACACTGCCACGTTTATTGTTCCCAGCCCAGCGGGAAGGCACTCCCAGACAGGCCCCTCGGGCTCCCTGCACACAGAGGACAGGGAGCAGCACAAGTCACAGTCCAGCAAGGGGCCTCAGAGCCCTGGGCAGCGGCTACTGGGGCCCCTACGGCTTCTACCACCTGGAATGCTGGCCAGGCCGAGGCAGCATCTGGGAGGCCAGGCTGGGCAGTCCAGGAGAGGGTCAGGGAAGGCAGGCGGGTGGTGGCACAGGTTCCAGCAGAAGCGCTCAGACTGGCACGTGGTGAGGCACTCAGGCCAGCAGGAGGACAGGCTGGGAACGCTGGGCACTGAGGTGGGTCTAGTCTCTTGTCATCCCCTGGGGCTACTAGAAATGCTGCCTCCCCTCGGCTCAACATCTGGAAGGGAGGAAAAGAGGGATGAGAGGTGAGGCGTGGAGAGGGCCATCCTGCTGGGCAGAGGCAGCCGGGGCGTACCCACCTCAAATGGGGCAGGCAGGGGTGCTCTGCCCACAGGAGGGGACAGCCTGTTTGGACCCCTGCAGCTCACCTGGGTCTGCTTCCCCTGTCTGTCCACCCTGCCCAACTGATTGCCTCAGTGGAAGGGGCCTCCCAGCCAGGAGGTGGAAGAGACCACAGAGAGGTTCCTAGGCTGGTGTCTGATCTTAGGGTGCCCTACCTGTCCCCTGGTCCTGCCACTCCCAGCAAGTCAAGGTCCCCACAGCAGCCACACTGGAGCACACAGGCCTGTCACCCCCTGCTTAGGACCCTGCTGAGGCTGACACCCGCACTGCTCCCCAGGCTCTCCCCAATCCAGCATTGCTGCTGTTTGGCCTGCTATTCCCTCTATCTGGAACACCCTTCCAGAGACTGGTCCCATTAACACCATGGGGAGACCCTCCATGACTGCACTGATGACCCCGACCCTGCTGTTCCTGCAGCCCCGCAGCCCACCAAGAGGCCCCTGGGGGTGGGGGAGGGCTGTGCACCATCTCAGATTCCTGGTCTCAAAGACAGTCTCCTCGTCACTGTCCATCGAGGCCATCTCGGTGGGATCCTCGGTGTTGGCCAGGAGGCCGTACCTCCTTCGCTGCGGCTTCTTCAACCTGGAAACAGGTCCGAGCACTCAGCGGCACCTCCCCATGCCCCCTGCACCACCCTCCTTCCCTGGGACCCCAGGGCCCTGCTGCAAACTTCCCTGGTCTAGTGTCTGTTTCTTTTACATCAAAATCACCACAATTACTAATTGTTCAGGTGGCAGTGAGGTAGGTGGACCCTCTGAAGGTCATCCCCTCGCCCCTTGCGGTGACCCCAGAAGGGGGGTGTTGACGTCACCCCATAGTACTCACGTAAACACGGAGTCTGGGGGTTTGCAGCATCAGCTGCGTGCAGGACCCCCTTGGGCCCAGCCCTGCCCACCATGGTACACGGGAGAGAGGAACTCCGCACCAAGGGCGTCTTGAAAAGCGCCTGGACTTTGCCAGGGTGGTGACAGGGAGGAACATGGTCGTCCCTGCGTGATCAAGGCCCTTCCAGAGGCGCCAAAGACCCCAAAGTGAGGCAGCCAGTTACGGGCGCAGGGATTCGGGCCATAGCCAGGGAAGGCGGGGCGGCCCAGGAACGAGGGGGGACGACGGGCGGCAGGGCCAGGGTAATGGGTGAGCAGAGCTGCGGCCCCTGAGGGTCGTGCGGAGCGGGGGCGTGCAGGCAGGGCGAAGACCCTGGGGTCGGGGGCACGTCCGGGCATCAAAGGGTCCCCGGGCTGGCACTCTCCGGCCTTGGCTGTTCCGCCGGGGAAATGGGCAGCCACGGCCCCGCAGCGCCAGCAGCTCCACGCCTGGCCAGGCGGGACGCCGACCAGCCCCGGGGGCCCCCGGGCGCGTTACGTGACCGCCGGCACCGCCAGACCACGTGACTACACCCACGCAGCGCCTGAAACGCCCACTCCGGAGAGAGGCGGTGCCCGCGGCCCGGCACGTGAAGCGCCAGCGCGCGCTGGTTGGCCACGGCTGGTGACGCACCTGAAGGCCCGGATGAGGAAGTAGAGCGCTGCCAGGCCGCACAAGCCCGTGAGCACGTAGAAGGAGCGCAGCAGCTGGGAGCGCAGCGGTCCCGGGAGGTGTGCGTGCGTGCTGTTGTGCGGCGCGCCCGGCTGGCTCCCGTTTGTCACGGCGGGCGGCGGCGAGAGCGTGACCTGCACGGAGCGCAGTGGCGGAGACACGGCCTCTCTGAGTCCGCGCACCAGCAGCAGCGTCGGCAGCAGCAGCAGCAGCGCCGGGAGCGGCCGCGGTACCATGCGCGGCCCCATAGCCCGGCGGAAGCGGTGGCGGCGCCCCGCCCCTGCGCGCGGCTGTCACTCAGGCGTGCGAGGGCGGCCCCAGCCAATGGGGCGCAGGGGCGGGGCTTGGGCCCGGAACCGCCACTGGCCCCTCCTCCGTCTGGCGGCGCCCGACGCTACCCACAGTTCCCCCCCAAGATTCCCCCACCCGGCCCGGGCTTGCGGCCAGCATGTGAGCCCGCGTGTGCGACGCCGGGATAGGGGAACCTCCCTCTTTGGCAGAGCCCCGAGGGCGTCCCGCGGGGACCCCAGGTGCTCTCAGGCTCCCGGAGAAACCGGCCTGCTTCCCTCTGCACCGCCCTGAGGCGCAGGGCCAGGGCCTGCCCGGGAGTGTGGGGTGTCCTGGCCGTGGTTCTGGAGCTGCCATGCCCAGCGCGCTCAGCGCAACCCCAGGCCAGCCAGTGGAGCAGGGGATAGCCCGTTGGCAACACGTGCCCACTTGGTCACAGCACAATGAGGGGATCCGGCGGTCCTCGCCTGGGTACAGCTCCTGCCCCTACCCACCGAGATCCTCCCTGCGGGGTCAGGCCACCCTCAGCAGCCGCACCCTAAACCACAGACTCAGCTTTCAGGTGCACACATCGGCCCTTTATTAAACCCGCCTTTCCATGTCTTCCACCGTCTTGGGCAAGGACTGGCCGCCGTCCCAGCCGCCAGCGCCTTGGCCTGTCCTGTCCTCCCGGAACGGTCTGAAGTCCTGAGGCCGAACCTCACTGGCGAAGCACCTACTGGAACGAGGGGGAGGGGTGAGGAGCGGACAGGGCCGAAGCCTGCATGTGCCATCCTGGGCAGGGGTCTCCCCTGGCCGGGTCGCATAGGTGCGGGAATGCCAGTGGGCCGAGGCACCGCCAGGGATAGGGATGCGGCTGCCTGCCACCCACCCGACAGCACTTACAGGAACAAGCCTCAAAGGCAGGCAGCTGCATCTCTGGCTCTTTCCAGGTGAAGTCCCTCCTGGGACAGTGACCCCTTGAGGTCATCTCTGTTCTTGGGCCACCCTTCCCTGTGTCCCGGCTGGGTCCCCTTCAACCTGCCAAAGCAAAGAAGCATTATTCCTGATGTTCCTGATAGGGCTTTGCAACTGCCCCCCACCCTCCCCAGAAACCATCCACAGCTCCCACGAGGGTCTCGAGCTAGTCATGGGGCCATGACTTCAGAGGCACCGTCATGGGCCGGTGTGCCCGGGGCGGGGCTGCGCCTTGAGATGCAGCCAGAGCCACATTCCCGTCAGCAGAGCCAGCTACCCACTCGGGATGGAGCTGCTTAAGAGACCAGTGTGGACTCTGGAAAAAACTAACGGTGGCAACAGACATCAGAGAAAGCTAGTTAGGTGCATGACTTAAAGAGGTCTGGAAAAGACTGTCAATTGATGAGCAAAAAATCCAAAAGGCAGGGCGTTCGGTGGTCTCCAATCCTGCTCAATGGATGGCACCTACAAGCGAGGCGTGACTGTGCCCGAGGCTGCTTGCCTGGCCACAGACAGGGAAGAACCGGCAGGGCCTGACTTTAGTTCTAGTTTGATTTAAAAAATAAAAATTTAAAAAGAAGAAAAAAAAAAACAGTCAAAGGAACATTCCCGGGGTACATAACTTTACTTTCAAATGAGCTCTTGACAAGAGGGATGCGGACACGAGCGAAAGGAGTTACCTCGAATTACAGGGCTATTTCCACATATGAGCTAGCCAAGGGAGCAGCTTGCGTCTCAGAGGTTTCTGTTGGGCGCACAACACTTCTGTCCTCCGAGGGCTGCAGCTTCCATAGGCTAGCAGAGAACGCTCAGAACTCGTGAAGCAACAGCAGAACTAGCTAACGAGCTGGTCAGTCTGGTCGCCCAGGGACGCCACGTGCCGTCCACTCTCTGCCTGCTGCTAGACTAAGGCCGTCCGGTCAGCGTCAGGTGCCCAAGGGTTCACTGTCCCTGCTACCAGTCCTGTCAAGCCCTGGGCTGCCCCTGCCGGAAGCCTCCCAGGGCTGCCTTGCTGTCTGAGCTGCGCTCCCGTCACCCACCTCGCTCACCTAAAGGGACGGTGCCGTCAGCTGTTCACAACGCCCGGCCAGCGTCAGTTTGCTCTGCCTTCCTCGGCTAGCTCTCCGCAGGCCTCAGGTAGGACTGGCAAACCTACTGTTCCTCAACTGCTCCTGCTCAGGTCTGACTGCGACAGCCCAGCAGGGAGTGTATTGTGCAACGAAAGGGAAATTGTCAGAGCAAGGTTCATTTCACACGGTCTTTTAATCGGCTTCGTAAAGCCAAAGAAAACTGCATACAAGAATTCCTTAGCCACTGCAAATACAACATCAATGGAGTATGCATACGTCTTCCAGTAAAAAAGGACAATATAAATAAACATCTTCAAGACCCTCTCGGGGGACGTCTGCACGTCTACTGCGGGGCACACAGTGCAGATGGGCAGATGGACTGGGGCTTCAGGGCAGCCTCTGCCGCCACCCCGATGGTGTCCTACCACGCTACACTCAGAAACGTTACACGGAGTTGGAAAAAAGCCACAGCTTGCTCAGCTTCCGACAGAGCGGATTCAGAGTCTGTTCGATCTCAGAAGTGAATGGGGCACCCAACTTCATGGCGCCGACCCCAAAAGAGAAACAAAAAAGGCAACACAACCAAAAACCCACAAAAACCCAAAAGTGTAACAAAAAAACCCACACAACCCCCGGCGATTTTTTTAAGAACTCATGGCTCATAGTAAAAAGAAAAAAGTAAATCTGAAGTGCTTCTCAAACGCTTCGAAAACCCTTAAAAACGACAGCGCTTCCTTAAAAAGAAAAGTCTAACAATGAGGCCATCTCGGGGGTCAGAAGCAGTCAGGCTGGGTTTGACAAGATCAGAACTGAAATGACTACAAAAGTGGGAATACAAGGTGTGTTCACTACACATTAACGATTCAGCGAAGCTCCCAAAATCTTTAAATATACAGCCATTGGAAGGACGATCTTGAGCAGGAAGGATTTTTACTCGTTGTGTGTAGCTGAGGACAAGAAGCAGGTACAGTGTAAAGGCACTGAAGCAGCAACAGACGCGGCATTCCTCTCCCGAGTGCAGACTGGGGGCATGGCCCGGCCGCCTCGGGAGCAGCCAACCCCCCCCACAGCCGAGGGCGGCCAGCCGGGCCACACATGCACCTATGCTGGGCTGCTCGGCGGGTCCCTGCTCTCCCTTCCTTTCTGGTCAGTTTACTTGGCCCTCATGGTCTGCAGTAGAAATGGCTCTGAGAGGACAAACTTGTTCCTTATGGGCAAGCACAGTGACAGTCTGAGTGTCCAGCCTTAGTTGCTGGCAGAGGGCACCAAGGTGCACTGAGCTCCCGAAGCAGGCCACGGCAGCGTGGCACCCTCGGAGCATGACTTACCGTAACTGTCGTAGCTGTCTCTGTAGGACCCACCCGAGCTCCGGTCACCATAGCCACTGCCCTGACTCCGGCTGCAGAAGGACACACAGAGCAGGCATTAGAGAGCATTGATTTACCAACTGCCTGTGGCAAACTAAACTGCCACCCTCATGCCAGCAATCTGTCACGGGGATGTGACAAGAATGGCAACAGGGCAGATGCTGTGAAATCATCAAAAATCACCACCCATGTTGCCCCACCTGGCCCTTCCCCTGCCCTTTGGCTGTCCTCCTGAATAGCCCAGCTCCTGCCTGCCTGGGCCACCTCCTTCACCTCAATTCCATGCCCAGCCAGCCTCATCTCATCTGGGAGAAGTCCACCCAAGGACCCTGGATATGACCTGGCCACCTCCCAGACACCCTTATGCACGTTTGCTGGGTATCCACCTCCCCTCACCTGCTGTAGTAGTCTCTGGAGCCTCCGTAGCCCCCACTTCTGGACTCGAACCGGCCACCCCCATAGCCTCGGTCCCCTCCTCCTGTTCGCAGGAACAGAAAGGAGAAATGAATACCACCTCCTGCCAGCAGTGCCTCCACTGCATCCCCAAGGGATGCCACCCTTGTGGCACTCACCTCTGGAGAACCCACGGCCCCGTCCTCGGCCCCCACGGAAGAAGCCCCGGCCCCCGGCAGAGCCTCCTCGGTACCCACGGGATCGGTTGTCAGACGACTTGCCTGCCTGGTCAACTCGGATCTGTCGCCCATCTACAGACTGGAGACCAGAGGTTGGCAAAGGTTACTCTCTGCGCCACCCCATCCTTGGGGAGGGGAGCTCACGCTCTGCAACCCCAGACCCTCACCTTCCCATTCATGGCCATCATGGCGTCCTTGGCGTCGTCGATGTTCTCAAAGGTGACAAACCCAAAACCCCGAGATCGCTGGGTCTCTCTGTCTTTCACGACCACCACTGTGCAGAGCAGAGAGGTCTGCAGTCAGCACCCAGCAGTCCCCACAGGCAGGAACAAGGACAGGCCATCACTATTCCACCACCAGCCCAGCACCAGCCTCACCTTCGGCGATCTGTCCATATTTTGAGAAGACCTGCTCGAGTGACTGCTCATTGGTGTCAAAACTCAGCCCTCCAACGAAAAGCTTGCCTTCATCTGATGCCATGGTGGCCTGTGGCAGCATTGAAATCCCTAATGAGCTTCACCTCTCACCACCTTCCCTCCTATTTTATGCAAGTGACATATGTTATTTAGTGGAAGTTTGGGGAAAGCATTTTACTTCTGTTTTATTATCCTAAACTCAGAGCTAGGACTTAATTTAAACAAAATAGTTAATCACCCTGGACTGCTGGTTCCTAATTAGCCCAGTTCTACCCACATCCCAGACTAAGGGCTCCCTGGGGGCAGGGCCACATAGGGCTCCACAGTCCTCGGTGTTGATGGGGCCATACAGGGCCTACTGTGTCTCTCCCACAGCCTCTGCCTGGGCTGAACTGGTCCTTCCAGTTGGCCTGAGCGCTCTGGCAGGACTGCACCCAGTTTCTCCCCGCTCCCACATGGGGAGAACTCCTACCCTAACTACCTGTGGTCTACTGGCTGCTGGACTAGAAGGTGCTAGTAGTTCAGTGTAAAATGCCCCGAGAGTGACAGGACTACTGGGCCCAGGCAGTCAGGGAGGCCACCCAGGCCTGCGGAGCAGCTCTGGCCAGACACCGACGATAAACAAGACCGGGTGGGAGAGGGAGGGGTGGCCCGGAAAAGGTGATGTTGGACAAGGAGACAGATATTTGAGGGAACTACTCCGGGGACAGGGTGGCGAGCTGACACTCAAAGCATTTATTAGCAGCGAACGACCCCACCAAGGGCTCCAATAGCAAAGGCCAGGACTCGATTAGGAAGCCGCATGCTGGCGACTGTGCCAACACGGGGCCCAATTACGGGCGTAGAGCGTGACGTGGCAACGTGGGAAACACGGGAACTGTGCGTGCTCGGCCGGGATTTAAGAGGGCGTCCTGGCCCTCGGTCAATCCAGTGGGAAGACAGAGACACTGAGGCTCGGGAAGCATAAGGAACTGAGCACAGACACTCCTGACCCCACGGTCGGGAAACGGGACCTAGAAACTGGGCCCACCATGTGGCCCCCCCCCGCCGCGCGCGCATGCGCCCAGCGGGCGTCCTGCGCCACTCCATCCGGGCATTCGGCGATCCCGCCATTTCACTGGGTGCAGCCTGGAGCTCGCGGCCGCCATTTTGCGGCAGCTCCCCGCTTTGCCGGCGGCCCGGGACTGCGGGGGAATGCCCTCTGGCCACTGCTGGGCCCAGTCTCCCGCTGCCCCTCGCCGCCGGCGGGGCGGATTCCACCCAGGGCCCGCCCCGGCACCGCCCCCTCCCAGGGGCGTGCCGCCGCGGCCCCGCCTCGTCTGACCGCCACAGGTCGCCCGCTGCCCCGGGCTCCTCAGAGCCGGTGCCGCCAGGGCCCTCACCACTAAGCCGGGCAGGTCCCTGACGCAGGCGGGAACACGACACAGCACAACGACCCGAGCCTCCTAACGCGCGAGTGAGGGGGGGGCACCCCGGAGCCCGGCCTTATATAGGCTACCTCGTGGCCCCGCCTCCTAGCCCGCCCTCTGCGCCGCGCAGACCAATCAGAGGTTCCGGAGCCCACGGCCGCGCCTGATATTCATGAGCTGGGGGCCGGGCTTGTCCCGGCTCCGCCCACTCCCGGGCGCTGCTGCCGGGCGCGGCGATTGGCTGGGACGTTCCCAGTCCGCAGTCCACCTTCGTGCGCGGGGGCGTGGCCGGTGCGCAGTGGGGCGTGGCTGACCCACTTCCGCGTGCCCGCCCTAGTGCCTGCATTGTGGAACAAAGGGGCCTGTGGCCTTGTGGGGACCCCTGAATGTGGTGAAACCCCTACTTTTACTGTGCTCCAGCAATCCCAACATGTCGACCTCGCCCAGATCCCCATACCCCCCACCCCCTAGCCCTGGCTCTCAGACACTCCAACTTCATCCGAACCCAGACATCGATCCGTCCTGATACACTCGCCAGCATAACCGAAATCTCACTATCCACAGCACCTCAACATTCTACGTTGTCAATCCCAGTGCCCATCCAAACCTCAACACAGACGACTCCATATATGTGAACCCCAATATTCACAATTCCAATTCTTCTTCCTTCCCAACACTTTGGTACACCCTAACTTTACCCTAGCCAGTTTGTTTGCCTATAAACCCTGGCTTGCACCCACACATAACTCCTACCCAAACCCCAACTTCACCTCCACTGGTTGCGTCATCCACACCCCAACATTCAGCTGGCTGGACAGTATTGCGTATCCCATCTCCAGATCGCTGGCAGACACCCACCAGAATGCCTGGCTCAAGCCTCGAGTTCCCATTGCACCCCAACATTCAGCTGAGTCTTGGGACCTTAGCTCCCCCCGAGCTTCACATCCAAAGCCCGCCCACTCGCCATGGAGCACCCACTCTGCTCCTCCAGCTGGGTCTTCCAAAGGCATTCCTTGTTGAGCCTGGTTGTGGGGGTCCCAAAATCTCTGCTGTCAGGAGAACCAGCTTTGCAGAGACCCTTATCTCCAAAGTGCTCCCCAGGGTCTCTATGGCTTCCATCTTCTCCTTGTCCCAGCCCCAACTCATGCTGGGGCCCTCTCCCCTCTTCCGGCCCTGGTGGAAAAAGCTCGGTGGACCCCTGCCTGCCCAGACCAAAGACCCAACCACAGCTCTGTTCCCAGAAAGAAAGTCTTCAAGGGCTTCCAAGTTGGGGGGAGTCGAGGCACAGAGACCCCGTTTTTGCAGCCGACTCTAGAGAAGTCCCAGGCCCACTCCAGGCCTCAGACTCACTTGCAGCCTCAAGTGGGTCGAGCTGACCCAGCAAAAAGGGCGTGGGCAGGGACACTGTCTCCAGCGACAAGGTCTCCAGGACCTCTCATGGACTCAAGGACCCCTCCCCCAGGCAGCTGTGTGACTCATGGCCACCCCCTCCGCACCTCATGCCCCCCCCACTCCCCGTCAGCAGCAGCCTGCTGCGTCAGCCACTCACGCAGGGTGTTTATTAAAAGGAGCGGAGAGACAGCAGCGCCCAGCTCCACGCCGCCAGCCGCCCCTGCTGGGAGGGGTCCACCCACCCCCTGGGGTCAGACCCACCCAGCCCAGCATGCCCAGCCCCATAGCAGTCGAGGCCCACTCTTTCTGGCCTGTCCCCAGCGCAATCAGGGCGGGGGCGCTCCTTGCCCCCGAGCATCCGGAGGGGGGGCATAGTCACAGCGCCCGCTGGATCAGTCTTGTCCCCCCATGGTTCCTTGGTTTTGAGTCTTTCCCTTTCCTGGTTTTGCAAAGTGCTCGTGTTAATTAATTCATTCCACCAGCACCCAGTTATTAGGCGTGTACTAGGAGCCTGTCCTATGCACCAGGCTCCGTGAGCGCCCAGGCCGCCCTGGGTCCCCAGGGTGGTGGGACAGACACACCTGCGGGTACCTGTGGCTGTGTACATCCGCACCCAGGCCTGTGCACTGGTGTCTCAGGTGTCCCAGGCCTGTGCGCAGGTGTGTACCTGTCCTCTTACCTGTGTCTCTGTGGTTACCCGCGCCTGCGTGTGCCTGTGACTCCGCCTCTAGTCATGCCCCTGCGTCCCAGTGGGGAATTCGGGGGGCGGGGCGCGGGACCCCCTTCATCCACCCGTGCTGCGGCCACTGCAGCCATGCAGGACCCAGGCCGGGCGCGAGAGGGCGCTGCTGCCTCGCTCTGTCGCCGTGGCGGTGGCCCCGGGTCAGGTCCCGCCCCTCCGCTCAGCCGCCTGCTGCTGGGCCCCGGGTAGGAGACTGGTCCTCCTGCAGCCAGCGACCCTTGCCAGCCCCGCACGGCCACTGCACGAGGCCTGGTCTCGCGGGGCGAGCACACAGCCGGCTTCTGGACCCCCGAGGCTCGCTCGCCGCCCTCAGGCCGCCCCCGCGCCTTTGCTCTGGTGGTGGCGGGGGAGGAGGGGGCTCAAAATAGCCGCGCGGGGGCGACGTTGCTATTCTTGGCGCGACGCGCGGCACGGCCCGGCCCCTGGCTGGCTAGGGTGCGGGTTCAGCCGGAGCCTCGCGTCCCCGCGTCTCCCCGTCTCTGTGTCCCGCCGTCTCCGTCTCGGGCCCGTGGGCTCATTCACAAATCCGCCCCCTCCCAGATGGCTGTCGCAGAGGGGCGCCGTCTCCCGCAGCCCCTGCCCCTCCCCCCGCACGGGGTCGTTGCCGTGGAGACCGGGGCGGGGCCGCGTCGCTCCGCACCGCCCATTCTACCCTCCGCATGGGGCCCGGCCAGCCGGACGCCGGGTCCTCCTCCGACCCCTGCTAATGACCGGGCGGGAGGAGGTAATGAGCGTCTGTGCCCGGGACAGGCGTGGCCGGGGATGAAAGGCGCGTGGGGGGGGGGGCCCGGGGCTGCATAATTACCGCCCCCTCCTGGCCAGGCGTGGGCCGGGAAGGTGCACCTGGCGGCCGCCCTGCGGGGGCGCGCTAGTGGGACCGTCGGGGCCCAGACCCGCAAGGCCGAGAGCCAGGATGGGGGCTGCAGAGCCTGCGCGCGCTGCCAACGTGCGCCAATGGGCGGGGGACCCGTGGGTACAGAGACGGGGGCGTGAGGATTACTAGAGACACAGGCTTGTGTGGACAAGACCGTGGCGCTGTGTGCGTGGGCACTCGGGCGTCGAGGTGTGCACGGAGAACACGGGAGGGGGTTTGCGTGGCGCTGCGTGTACTACACAAAGGAGCTGGCGCTCGGACTTCAAAGTGTGCACCATCCATCCGGACGGACGGGAGCAGCCGGGACAAGGCTGGGCGTGCGTGACTCGGGTGGGCCGGGACCCCCAGAGCATATGTCCCTGTGCCTGGTGGCGTGACTCACGTCCCTGAAGTGGGCACGCGAGCTGTGTCAGAAGCAGCCAGGGCCTCCCAGGGCGGACCAATGTCCCAGGAGGCCAAAATGAAGTATCAGAAAGCCAGAAGCCCAGAGGAGGAAGGTTACCTGCCCCTCCCCCCAGCTCCCACCTGTGCCTGAGGTGGGATTCCCACCTCTCCAGGAGACCACAGGCACCTGAGATCCAGCTGCACCCTGACCTCACTTTCCCTCCTGCTCCTAGGAGGGGGTCACCATCCAAGACCCTGGAGGTCGTGCAAGGTGGGTGGGGAAGGGGCTCCTCTTGGCCTCACCCCCACCCCACAGGCCTGAGTCACAGCCTAGGAATGTGGCCCAGACCAGGCCTGGGCCACAGAAGGACACTCTAGCATGCACATCCGGAGACACAGGTGCACACACACCTCCACCTGCAGCGTGTCCACTGCCTGCACACAAACTCACACAGACGCACTCAGCAGCCCCTGCCAACTGCATGCACCTGTGACACACAGGCAGTGGATGGGACCCAGAGGACACACAATGACACACTGAGTGGTGGTGTCTGGGGGCCTGTGACTGGGCAGAGGACTTAGAGGAGACCTATGCCTTCCCTAGGGGTCACACACTTGTTTGTTCTTTTGTTACAACTCTGCAAAGAGACCCGACAATAACCCTATTCACTGCGCACTGATGGGCCAGCATTCACGGGGAACACGCAGTGCCATGCATACAACACATATTAGGTGTCCGTGAAATGCCAGAGACCCTGCAAGGCCCTCGAAAGGCCTAAAGCTGGCCTCTGAGGCCTGCCTGTGTGGGGGCCAGGGCTGCAGCAACTGGGTTTCTGAAACTGGTGAAGGGGCAGTGTTCAGAGTCCCCACCACCAAGAGCAGGAGGAGCAGACCCCCACCTAGGCCCCTCCACTCGCTCAACCTTAGAGTCCCAAGCCTGACCAGGCCCCACATGCAGGGGTCACACACAGGCTGGTTCCTTGCAAACACAAGGAGTCACAGAGTGGGCCCTGCCTGGGGCTGGTAGTATCTCCATGGCAGCAGTAGAATGGACAACTGGAGAGTGTCCCCTCCTCCCCCTGGCAGCTGCAAGGGCTCAGAGCCTATTGAATGCGAGCCCAGACACCTCTCCATGCAACAGGTTCCAGAAGCACCTGGCACCTGCCCGCCCCAGTGTGCCTGGAGGGCTCCGACATCCAAGCAGACACACCACACGTGCCCAGGGAACACGTGTCCAGGCACCCAAAGCTGCTCAGCCACGGATCACGATCCTTCCAGGGCCAGCAGCAGCCCAGGGGTCCAGCTGTTGGGGAGGGCAGTGCCCAGGCCCCTCTCTGTGCCTTCTTGGCCTCATTTGGGGAGCTGGCAGAGCCGCAGCACCTGGGATCAGTCGTGCACAGTGAGCACCTAGGTCTTCTCTGTTCTTTCTTGGTGTCACAGTTCGCACAGAATTTCCCTTAGGCTCACTCCCCCACTGCATGTGTATTTCCAACATTAACAAAAAGGCCTTTGGTTGGAGCAGGTTAGGACACACCTGTGAACACACAGTCCCTCCCCCACTGGGACTAGCAGACCAAGGATCCCCCGGGGTGGCTGCAGGTCTCAGGGTGTCCGCGTACCTCTGCCCCTGGGGTGTGGGTGTAGGGGTGATGGCCCAGGGTTTATGGACATCCTGTTTGTTCTGCGGGGCACACGGCTGACTGAGGTGTCTCAGGTCGGTGGGGTGTGGGTGCAGCAGGGGCCTGGTGCACTCAGCCCTCTGCACATACTTTAGGTTGCTGAGGGGCATGCTGGGCTTGTAGGTCCGTGTGTCTGGTGGCTGTGCAGGGCCCCATGTGGGACCATCTGTGGGGTTTTGCTCATCTTCCCTGAGGGCTGTGTGGGCAGCGTCCTGGGCGTGGGGCTGCAGCCAGCTGTCCCCGCCTGCCTTCGGGGTGACTGCCTCTCCTCCGTGGAGGCCGGCCCCACCCACATTCCAGAAGGGTGAGGGGTGCCCTATGGGCTCCTTCATGCTCCCCAAGCTCTGACCCCACTGGAGCCCACTCCCCACGCAGTGGCCAGGCACCCAAGGCAGCAGCTGGCTCCAGGGAGGGGCTGCAGGGTGGGCGGAGGAGGAGGCTGGAATGTGTGCTGGGGGTGAGGGAGGGGGTGGCCAGCAGGGAGGAGCCGGTGGTGCAGGGTTGGGAGAAGGCTGGACAGCAAGAAAGATGTTGGGACAGAAGTAGAGAAAGGCTGGGCCGCCAGAGAAAGGAAGAAGACCCAGACGAAGGGCGGAGGGAAAGAGGCAGGCGCTGGCTGGCCAGGGCTGGAGGGCCACAGGTGACAGCGTCCCCTCCTCCACCACTGGGCCAGGCTGCTTACCCATCCCAAGGGACACCAGAGGCTGCCAGTTCTGTGGCCTCCCAGGGCTGGGCAGCCAGGGGGCGGGGCTGGAGTCCAAGCTTCTGGGTTGGGCCCCACGCCCTTGGCCACAGGATGGTGGCGTCCCCAGCCTCCAGCGAGGTAACTCCCATTCCCATGGCGCCTGGATAGGAGGGTGGGTGGAGCCAGGCCCAGTGGGGGCGGCTGTGCCTGGGCACCGGCTCAATCCCATCTCACTGGTGGCTTCCGGCCAGGGGCCCACCCTTGCCACCACCTGACTGGCCTTTGGCATTTGAGAACCTTACAGCCAGCTCTGAGCGCCCATTGGGCCACCCCCAGGGACTCTGGCCTCAAGTGGAAAGCTGTGACCCTCAGGGACCTTCTGACCGCCACAGCTGCCTCAGCATGGAGGAGCACTGTGCGCCTATGAGGTCACCGCATGTGAGGTCACCGCCCCGGAGCGGACCTCCAGGACAGGCCCCCTGTCGCCTTGGCTGCCACAGCAGCCCACGTGGCCAGCCCCTGCCCTGCCTCTCCCCTCCACTTTCTTCCAGGCTACCGCCAGAAGCCAGCCTCCGACCCAACGTTTTGGCTGACACCTCCCCACCTGGCAAAGGCCCCCCCCATTTACTCTGACCGCTGCCCTAAGTGACACCTGGTCAGAGCCAGGCAGCTGGGGGCCACCTGGAATTCCTGCCCCCTGGGCCGTCACCTCTCCTGGCCGGACTCCCTGCCAAGTGCTCACACAGGCATCTCAAACCTGCTCCCCTTCCCCAAATTTCCAGCCTGCCCCTTGCCAACACCTCCCTGTGGACTGAAAGCCGCCTTCAGGGCATGTCCTGGGCTCCTGGCCATGCAAACAGCAGTTCCCTGCCCCAGGGCGAGGCTGCCAGGGGCCCATCTGTCCTCCCCCCACGCCCAGGCCAGGTGTCCTGTCCCCTCCTCGATGCCCTGGCCTCTCTGTTCCCCTCACCTGCCTCTCCTCCCTGGCCCCATCTTGGTCTGCAGATCACGGACTTGGGGATCGCCCCTCTAGGGTCGTTGGTATTTTTCTCCACCAACTCAACTCCCCACACACGCTTTCGGGTTTCCAGTTCTTTATACACGCCGAGTCCCCGGCCTGGGGCACCCTTCCCCTCTGCCTACAACCCTCTGGCAAAACCTCAGCACCCCGCCCCCACAGCGGGGGTTGCAGGTCCAGGCCGGGTCTGGCCCTCGCTCTAGGCCTTGAGGGTGGAGAAGCAGCAGGAAACGCGCGTGCGTGGGAGCAGGTGCACGCGAGCGCACCGCGCTGGGGGTCCACGTGCAGCGCCCCCTCTTCCGTCCTGCCGGCCGCCACCAACCGGGCGCCGCATCCCCGCCCCCAGGTGAGCAGGCACGCGGGGAGGACTGGGCCCGCGGCGCCTCCGCGCTCGCGCCTGCGCACTCGGCCCGGCCCACCGGAGTCCCGCCTCCACGCGGCCCTCTCGCACTACTATTGGCGCACGCAGATGAGCGAGCGGCCTGGCCACCAGTGAGGCTGCCCCGGGGGGTGGACCGGGTCTGGGTGGTCCGAAGCGAGCAAGCGGGGGCGGGCGGTGCTCTCCCCGCGGTGACGTCAGCCTCCTTTAACCTTGCGCGTTGCCCTGGAAACCGCGTTTCCATCCCCGCGGGTTTCCGGGGGCCGCCCCCTCCCATTCAGCTTTTTCCTCAATGGGGGCAGGGAGCGGTAGGGACGATCCCGCCCCTCGCGACCCTGTGGCCTCCACCCTCTCTGCTCGTCAGTTTACCTTTCCGTGTCTCCGCCCCGAGCTCCACCCCTACACCCCCACCTCGCACTGCACAGCCTGGACCCCTGGGACCCCAGGCTGGGGGGGCAGCGTGCTTAGGGGCGGGGTCTCCAACCTATGGGGCGCAGACACAGCCCCTGTGATTGCGCAGGTGCGCGGACGACATCCTCCTTCCTTGTCCCCCACCCCGCCCAGGGAGGGGGCGGCGACCTGGGTCGCGCAGGCCCTGGCCCTGACCCACAGGGCGGGGGCTGCAGGTGACCGACGCTCCGGACCCGGCGGGGACGTTCGCACCCACTGACACTGGTCCTGACGGGGCCTTCCTGCCGTGGGCGTGGGATGATTTGGGGTTGACTGGTGTTGGGAGGGGCAGCGGTGCCTCAGGAAGACACCCCCAGGCCACTCTAGGAGGGGACCTGTCCCCTTCTCCTTGAGATCCTGGCGCTGGGGCTTGGGAGGGTAGGCAGAGGCTGGAGCCATCAGAGGTCAGATGAGGGACAGAGGTCACATAATTTTGCAAACACCTCTAATCCTCCGGGCAAAGCGATGTTTCTCTTGGGGCTTCGGTTTTCTCGTCTATAAAATGGGAGTATAATTACTTCTAACCCTTAGGTTGCAGTGCTTAATTGAGGAAATACATGTTAAAAGAAAAAAAGGAGCCATTAGTAGTATGATTACCCCAAAGTGGAAGGTGAGGCCTCAGAGAGGGCTCAATCCTGGCTGGGTCTCTGGGGAGCCCCAGGCTGGGAGCTGAGAAGGGCTAGGGGCAGAGGGCTGGGTGGGGCCTGGGCGACCCAGGACGTGCAGGGGTGGGAGGTGCAGTCTGGGGAAGTTCCCAGGCTGAGCCGGGGAGAGGGGCGTTCCAGGATGGGGCACGGCTGGGGCAAAGGCCTGGAGGGCTGAGGCATGACCGTCAGGGTTGGGGAGCGCTGGAATGCAAAGCCAGGGTGTGGCCCGAGAGGGGCCAAGGGAGAGGTCACCCAGGGCGGGTCCAGTGATCTCCCAGCAGCAAGCTGGACCGTGGTGAGACTCCAGGAAGAATAGTGGGTGGGTCTGGCTAGGTTGGAGCTGCCTCCCAGGCCCTGAGCTGGTGGTCTGATCTGGAGAGTGCCATTTCCTCGACCCACAGCCCACTTCAGAGGGCCGAGACTGGGAGAGGGCACCTAGCAGATGGGCAGGCCCTAAGGGACTTCCGGCCTCAGGTACCAGGAAGTGGCTGCCCCCACCCTAGCAGCTTCCTGCCCACCCCCTAGCCAGGGAGTGGGTGTGGGAACTGCCCAGCCCTTGGCCCTGGTCTCGGGGTTCTGGGAGATGGGCACCTCCCCAGCCCCCCCTCCACGATACAAGTGTAGCAAGACCCCTACCCCAGGTTAGAGGCGGGACAGTCACTTGTGTTTCATTTTCTGTTTATTACTTGAAATCACGGTGCTCGTGTAGGTTTTCTTTTTCGATTTTATGTTTTCATACAGGAAACTCACGCGAGGTGCCGGGGACCCCCCCGGCCCGATCCCCGAGGGCGGGTAATGCTTTCTTGGGGGTACCCAACAGGGCAGAGGGGGGCCAGCTGGTTCCCGCCTGGGGCCTCCACCCTGGACCCACGGAGGCACAGACGTAATTTAAAAATCGTTAAAAAACAAAACAGAACACACATTTAAATAGGTATCCAAGACAGTTTTTCAAAAAAACAAACCCACCCCTTTTTTCTCATCTTTTTTTTTCTATTTTTCTTTTTTTTTTTTTGAAAAACAAAAACAAAAAAAACCAAATCCTCAACTTCTACCCTCTGGGATCCCTCCCTGCCCACCCCCCCCCCACAAAAAAATTTACAGAGCTACAGTTATAACACATGATGTTCACATCTGAAACCATTAACTTTAAACACATAAGGGGGGGGAAGTGAGGACCTGGGGTTCACCTACGGGGGGGGGGGGTAGAGGACAGGCGGGGCCAGGACAAGACTGACAGGTGGGTGGGGCAGGGCCCAAACGTCTCCATAATCATTTAAAAAATAAAAAGTGAATGGGAAAAAAAAAACCTAAAAATTCTACCCCCATTGAAATGGCCCCAGCAGCCAGATGTCCCTCAGTCCTGGGCCAAACACCCCCCAGGGCATGGGCACTGAGTGGGGAGGGTCCAAGTTAGACCAGCAGCGGACCCCCCCCAAGGGGGTTAATGCTACACAGCGTTGCCCCCTACTCAGGGGATTCACAGCTCAGCACCCCCTGCCCGCCCTGGCCACAGGGGAGGCCCCACATCCGGGGCCTGGGTCGGGGTGGGGGGCGTCGCACCAGCCCCAGCCATTCTCTCCCAGTTTTTGAAGAGATTCCCAACCACTATTGGCTCAGTCAGAAAATTAATAGTCTATAAATACCCCAAGCTCAGGCAGGAGGTCAGGGAAAAAAAAAAAATGGGGGCGGGGGCAGAGGAAATAGCACGGTGGAGGTCATGGTGGGCCAGGGCTGGGTGGAGGGAGGTCTGTCCCCCTCACTTCCTTTCCTGTCAGGAAAGGGTCCCACATCCCTCCACCCAAATCCAAGGCAGCCCCCCACCAGCCAGCCTCTCTGCTGAAACAGCTTTGCTTTCCTTTTTAAAGAAAGAAAAAAAAAAAAGGAAAATGGACAAAGAGGCCCAGAAGAAAAAAACAGACTAGAAGTGGAAGAGAAAACAGTCCCCTACTTGGCTGTGGGGACCCGGCTGGCCCCGGGCAAGTCTGCTATTGCAGCCCAGGGAGGTCCCACTGGCCTGGGGTGGAGGCCAGAAGTCTGCAGTGGGGGGTGGGATGGGTCCTCCTCTCCCCGGCCCCCTCCCCTGTCTGTAAAGTGCTTCATGAGGCATCTACATTTTTGACTTAAAACCTGAATCGGGTGTGGGGGGAGCAGAGCGGAAGGGGGTGGGGGCGGTCTCCTCAGTCTCCTGCTCTCAACCATCTGGAGAGACTGCTACATATTTGGAGCTGGGGAAGGTGGGCGGGAGGACCCGGCACACAGGCCAGGGGGGGCCCAAGAGCTGGGGTGAAGTGAGGGGAGGAGGGGCGCTGGGGGGGAGGGGCAGGAGGTAGGAAGCCAAGTCCAATGGAGTTCGGAAAACCATGGTTAAGAATTTAAAAAAAAAAAAACAAAAAAAACAAAGAAAGGCTTCTGGTGGGCGGGGGGAGTGGCCACCTGCCCTCCAGAGCTGGGCCATGTTCCTGGCAGGGCTCCGGGCTCTTGGCATCCCCACTGCCCTGGGCTGGGGGATTTGAGGGGCGAGGGTGACCAATCCTAGGCCACCACGAACTCAGACTTGATGTCGGGGTTGACTTCTGGCTTCCAAACGGAGTCCTCGAAGTCCAGGCCCAGGCCAGCAGCCTCACTGGGGCTGCTGCCGCCCCCGCTGCTGCTGCTGTCGCTGCGGCCGGTCTTGCGGCTAGGTGGCCAGTGGTATGGGCCCCGGGCGTCGCGTCGGGCCTTTCTGCGGAGCCTTTTCTGCTGCAGCAGGAGCTGCAGACGTTCCACCTTGCAGCGCGTGGCGCGGTTTTCCGTCTGCCGGAGCCGGTCCCCTGCAAAGGAGGTAGTGACCCGTGACTTGGAGAGGCCTGACACCCCTTCAGACACAGAGGGCCCTCAGGACATGCCCCAGTCAGGCAGAGTCCCTGCCGGCCTGGACACCTGTGCCAGCGAGGGAGACAGGCAAGGGGCATCCTTGCTCACGCTCCAGGGTAGCCACCCACTTATAAATAACTTAGGCGGCTCCACTGTGAGCCAGGAAGGTAGGGCCTGGCCTGTCTCAAGAAAGGCACTTCTGAAATAGTCACGGAATAAATAAACTGAAATTTGAACCTTTGTGGCTGCTTCTGTGACATAAGGGGAGACATTCAGGCTTGTGCCTTGGTTTCCTGCTTTTATGCACTGGGCTATAGAAACCTCTGGACGGCTGGGGAGCCCACAGGGCAGCAGCGACTGTCGTCCCACAAGACTCTGGATGGGGAGCAACCCTATCATTGCGGGAGGAGCTTCCTTGCTTTCCGAAGTCTCCCAAATGCTAGGGGTGGGGAGAGGGCTCTGGCTCCCACCTCAGCCAGCCAGGCCTGACTTAGCCATTCATAAAGGCTCCAAATGCCATCTGGAGATGTGCCCTGGGGGAGCCAGGAGGAAGTAGGGCTAGAGCCCCCTTGGGAGCTCACAAGGACACTTTGTGCCCCAACACACATGCCTCCTTCTCTCGGGGCTGCAGCAGAGCAGGGGCAGAGGCAGCTGCTAGCTTCCCCCCCACACCCCCCGGCCCCCAGGCGGGTCAGCTGCTCCTGCGCCCACTGGCTCACACAGAGAGCCCTTGAGAAGCAGGGGGACGGGTGGGGACGGTGGGACCCTGAGGGTAGCCACTCACCCGGGGGCTTACACATGCGGATCTGGCTCTGGCCCTGGAGCAAGGAGGCTGGGGGCGCCGCCAGCTTCTCGCAGGAGGTAGTTTTGGGGGCGAGGTCAGGGGCCGCAGCGCACTGGGCGTGGCAGCGGAGCTGGGTCAGCGAGGGGGGCATGCCCTGGTAGTGCCTCGTGGCGCTCAGGAGGTCGTTGAGGATCTGCAGGATAGTGCCGATGTCCCGGCGCGGCCGCCCGCTGCTGTCCTGGCAGTTGGGGTGCAGCGTGCCTGCGGGCAGAGGAGGCTGTGAGTGCCTGCTGTCTGCACAGTCACGTGTGTACAGGCGTGAATGAACACATGGATGGGGGTCCACACGTCAGCTTAGGGAGCATGATGGGCATGTGGTCACACAAGTGCAAGTGGGACCACCGGGCGGGAGTGGGATACACACCCACCTACGTATGTGGACACTTGACCTCATGTGTGGGGTCATGTGTGTGCATGGAGATTCCTAGGGAGAGGTGACAGAGGGTCATGCATATGTCCTCAGAGCATGGGTGTAACTGCCTGCAGCAGGACATGTGACCTCAAGTGCACAGGGCCACGGGATACATGTGGGGTCATGCATGTGCTGTGACACCTACCAGAGAAGGTCCCTGAGAAGACCCCTGGGGCATGGTTCACAAAGCTCTCGATGACGGCACCGGGTTTTCGGGAGCGGGGGTTTGGGCTGCCCCCCGGGGTAGATGTGGCATTGGCACCAGGGCTGACACTGCTGCTGGCAGGTGGGGAGCAGTCCATCTGCTGACAGAGGGAGGTATGTGTGAGCTGGGGGCCAGGGGCAGGGCATCACCACCAGCCCAGAGTCTAGATAACCCACCAGCCCAGAGTCTAGACAACCCACCAGCCCAGAGTGCCCAGGGTCTAGACAACCCACCAGCCCAGGATCTAGACATAACCCACCAGCCCAGGATCTAGACAACTCGCCAACCCAGGGTCAGGGCGTCACTGCCAGCCCAGAGGCTAGACAACCCACCAACCCAGGATCTAGACATAACCCACCAGCCCAGGGTCAAAGGATAACCCGCAACACCAGGGAGGCACTTGGGGCTCAGAGCCCTGAGGATTACCCTTTGCAGACTCACCTCGGGACAGGTGGTGGAGGCTGTGTGGGATCGGAAGGAGCCGGCTGTGACAGGGGAAGGTGAGGAGGGGGACGGACTGCTGGGCACTGGAGGGACTCGGGCAGCACTGGATACTGGCCGGCAGGGAGAGGCCACGGGGGTGGTTATGCTGGGGTCCCCTCGGGCAGCTGCAGCCGCAGCAGCTGCAGCGGCCAGCACGTGGCGGTGTTGCAGTGGGGCATGCTGGGCAGCTAGCTGCAGCTGGACGAACATCATATGGTCACCCACTCGAAGCGCCAATGTCAACGGCGAGCGGCCCGACAGGAAGTCACTGACCTGAATAGAGAGCAGGTCCGTGAGCCCGGGGTTCCAGCCTGCTGCGCCCCCAGCCCGGCCCGGCCCGGTCCCCCCAGCGCTGTGTGACCTGGGGCCTCTCGCCGCCCCTCTCTGGGCTCTGGGGTCCCTGTCGGTGCCACGGACGCTTAAATAAAATGAATCTGTATTTCCGGAAGCCTCCTCCGCCAGCCCGGCCCGGCCCGGGCGCCGCTGGGGGCTGTGGGGGACAGAGGCGCGTCAGACGGGGGGGGCCTGGCCCTCCCTGGCCAACTTGGTTCTTTAAAGGGGAAACTGAGGCCAGAGGGGGCAGGGTCCAGCTGGCAGTCACTGACTTCAAATAATCTTCACCTCACCTTTCCCCCATCCTTTCCAGCCCCCAAATCCTCTCGGCCTGTGGATATAGGAGGGGGACCAATCACAGGCCCCCTCATAAGCTAAGCCACCAGGCCAGCGAGTGGGCGGAATTCCTGGACAAATTCTTCCGTCCTAACCTTTGCTTTCTCAAGATAAATATTTATCTGTCCTGGGCGGGGTGGAGGCCGAGGGGGCGGCGGCATTACTGCAGGAAGGAGGCCCTGACCTGTCCCTGGGGCCAGAGTCTCCTGGGGCCTCAACACGCCCTGATGAACATCAACCCTCCCGGTGGCCCCTCCACGGTGGGCAGGGGTATATCTGACCCTGTGCTCACTGAGCTTCCTGCTCTGGGGCCTGGCCAGTGCCTTGTTCTCCTCAGGGGCCGGGATGGGGGGGCGGAGGTTTCTGAGAAGTGACACAAGCCGGGATGACTCAGAACCGACCGCCTCCCAGCGTTCCCTCCCAGCGCTCCGCTGGCAGCGGCTGGCGTAACCTTCTCTGCTTGGGGCCCGTGGGGAGGGGGGCAAGGAGGCGGGCAGGGTGCAGCCTCCACCCGAGGCCCAGTCTGCACAGCCCTCTGTCCCAGAGACACCCCTTGCAGAAAGGACCTGGGGTAGCTTCCCGAGAGCAGCTGGGGTCTCCCCCCCACCCTGTACTTCCTCTCTGGGGAGGGTGAATGGGCGGGCGTGACTCGGTGCCAGCCAGGGAAGCAACCCTGGGGAGCCCAGTCACTCCGCCCAGTGCCCCCCCCAGCTCCCTCCTGACGCAGGCGCTAGGGAGGATGTGAACCAAACACGCCCTGGGCCCCCCTGCCAACCGCAGCCCCCCAGTGGCCAACAGCTCTGTTCACACTTGCTCCAGGAAATCACCTGCAGCCCCCACCTGGATCCTGGGACACCAGCTCCCAGAATCCCCCAACCCTACGGATGGCAGACCACCCAGCTCCTAGTGCCCCCTCCCTGCCCCCTCCTCTGAGCTGCTTGCTGAGGGCAGGACGCTACACGTTGATGGCAGAAGGGGGTGAGGGCCTGGGGCAGGAGGAAGGGAAAAATCTGCCACCAAAGCTGTGGAGCAGGTTTCCTGTGGCCAGGCTGGGGAGGCCCGGGAACCTGCCCACCCCCTCACCGGGCGGGCAGCTGCCTGCTTCCCCCACCCTGGCACCCGGCAGATTGCTGAGGCCTGTGTCACCCTCCTGGGAGGTGGCCAGGGCCCTAGTCTGAGGAAGGCCCTACCGCCGCCAAGAAAATGAGGAGGGAACAACAACAAAAAAAAGGCAACAAAACCGGGAACCGGGTGCGGGCCAGCCCCAGCCCCAGCCCCAGCCTCCCTCCCAGCCGGTTACTAAATATTTTCCTAACATCCTGTCTAGGCCTTGCTGCCCTAAGGCAGGGCGCCCCTACCCCCTCCCCCTTTCAGGGCAGAGAACAAAGGCCAGAGAGGAGGAGGAGGAGAAGGAGGAGGTGGAGGAGGAGGGGGTGATGAGGTCCCCACCCTCTACAATGGGGTCACAGAAGGCGGAAGGAGTATAACCCAGGCGCCCCCGCCCCCCTAGCAGAAATGAAAAAAAGGAGAAACTGGCTTTGGGGAAGCCACAGTGGCCTGGGGGGGGCTCCACAATGGGGGCGTATGAGACTAGGAACACAAGCCCTGGGTGTGAGTTGTAGGCCAAGGTCACCCCACAGGCAGGCTTGTGAAAGCCTGGTCCCCTCCCCCCCATGGCAGCCACCGTGGGAGAGAAAGCCCTCAAGGTCAGGTGGTGATTGCTGGGGGCGGAGAGGAAGCACAGTGACCAGGCCAGACTAGCACCAAGGTGGGGTGGCAGCCCTCCCCTCCCCCACAGGCCTTCTGGGTGCACAAACACCCAGTAGGCTCTCTGGAGTGGCCAGGAGGTGCCCCGCACCCTGGGGCTGCTCCCTCAGATCAGGAAACGGCTGGCGAGGTCTTACCTGGGTCTCGGTCAAACTCTCTAGGGCTTGCATCACAGACTGCTCCGGCCGTGAGGCCTGAGACTACAAAGAGAGAGTGGGGAGAAGGCACCTGAGTGCAGGTTCCCAGCCCTCGGCTCGGGCATCAGGGTGGGGAGGGACCTGCAGGCTGGGGTGGGCTGCCCTGCAGGGGAGGGGGCCCCAGTGTGTGCAGGTGGCCTGTGGGAGGGGGACGCCTGCCCGTGTGGGGCCGGGGCACACTGCCCCCCAGCCATTTACCATCAGGCCGGCTTCCACAGTGGGCACCAAGGTCAGCTTGCTGCCATCACCCACGCCGAGCTCCTGCAGCTTCCCCGAACTGAGCCGGCTGGGGGGGAGGAAGGAAGAGGATGAGACTCCGCGGAGACAACACAGGGACGCGGAAGCGGAGGCCGCGGGGGAGGGCTGTGCTTGTGGGGGGAGAACAGAGAAGTCGTTCCCACCCCCACCCCTTCCTGGCTTCTAGATCCAGGGCCCTGAGCTTGTGAAGAGGGCTGTGTCTGGCCCCGGGAGCCCCCATCCTGGCAGCTCAGAGCCTTTCTCTCCAGGAAGCCCCAGCTCTGGACTCTGGCAACCCCTTAGTACCTCGACAAGAGACTGTCATCATCTGGGCCCCGGCGTGCCCTTTGCCCCCCTACTCTACCCCCGCAGGGCAGCCCCTGCCTGCAACCCCAACCCCAGCCCTGGGCTCCCCTCCGTGGACGCCGCGGGCCGAGGAGAGGCCTTCAGGGGCTGCGCGGCCGGGCTCCCCCTCCTCCCTCCCTCCCTGGCGCAGGCCGCTGCCGCTCAGACAAAGGAGACCCTCCCCCTCCCGCCCCTCCCCCACCGGGGCCCCTCCGCTGGGGATGGACACTGCATGTCCCCGGAGGCCCGCGGAGGGAGGGCTCCCCGGCCTGGAGGCGATTTAAATACCAGGGAGGAGGGGGAGGCTGCGGGGAGTGCTCGATGGCTAGAACAAAGGGGGGGAGAGAGACGCAAAGGGGGAGACAGCCAGACGTAGGGGGACCGCCGAACAGACGCGGAAGCCGGCGAGGACGCGGCAGAAAGGGGGCGACCGCGGCCCCCACTCGCGCAGCTGGGAACCCCGCGCCGCTCTGGGGTTTCTGCCTTCCCCCACAGAGGGGCCGCTTAAGCTCGGCCTGAGACGCCCTCGCAGCCGCCTTTGTGCGGAGACCCCGCTCGGGGGAGGGGGCCGAGACAGGCAGGGGCCGAGCAGAGGGCGCCCGAGAGCGCGCGGCGCGCCCCCGACCCCGTCTGGCCGCCCCCTTCCTTTCCTGCGCGGCGCGCTCTTTGTTCCCGCCCCGGGGCCCGGGCCCAAGGGGGCGGCCGGCCGGGGGGCGCGGGGGCCGCGAGCGGCGCGCGGTACCTACGTGTCTTTGTGGAGCAACGCCAGGCGCTCCTTGGGCACTTTGAGGCGCTGGGACAGCCGCCTGCGCAACCCCTCCACCGTCTCGTCGGGCGGCACCGACAGGTCGTAGCGGGTGCCGGTCGTGCTGTGGATAGCCAAGCTCAGGGGCGCCGCCTCGGCCGCCGGGCCAAGCTCGCAGGCACCGCCGGGGGCCCCGCGCCGGCAGCTCCGGGCGCCGCCGGGCTGCGGCTCCATCCCCCGCGTGCGCTGGGGCCTGGGGTCCGCGGGGCGCCGCCAATCCTCGCCTAGCCCGGGGGCAGGGGCGGGGGCTGCCCAGAGCCCGGGTCCGAGACTCGCTGGGGGGCCGGGGGCAGCGCGCGTTGTTCGCTTCGAGACCGTCCCGGCGGTGGGGGGCGAATCCGGAATCCAAATCCGAGTGGCGCTACGGGGTCGCGTCGGCTCCTCGGGGCACCTTCCGGGGGTGGGGACGGCACTCGCGGCTCCTTTAAAGGGCGGCGGGCGCGACCGAGACGCGGCGCGGGGGAGGTAGGGGAGGGGGCGCCCCTCAGCCGGTTGCGCTCGGTGCTGTCCGCCGCTTGAGTCCCGCTTCCCCGCGCGTCCCCTCCCTTGGCAACAACCGCCGCCGCTTGGAGGATCTGGGGGTGAAAGTAACAAGAAAAAAAAGTTATAATGTATCAACGTTCCAAGGGGCGGGGCCGCCGCCCCCTCCCATTCACTACTTACTCCGCCGGCCCCGCGCCGGCCAATCGGCGCGCGCCGAACGCCCAGTCGGCCACGCTCCCTGGCCAATAGGAGGCGCCGCAGCGCGGCCCCACGTGGCAGTGAGGCCCGCCCCTCTCCCCGCCCCCGGCGCCTGGGCGACCAAGGGGAGCGCAGCGGGGGCGGGGCTGGCGCCGCTCCGGGCCCGCCCCCGCGCCCCGCCCGCGCCGCGAGCCATTCATAAGGCCCGGAGACCGCAACAAAGGGCGGGCGGGCCTAAGGGGCGCGGAGCCCCGCGCGGGGACCGGAGCGGCCGGCCACTGGGGGGGGCGGGGGAAGAGGCGCGGGCCATTGTCACGGCGCCGGGAGGAGCAGGAAGTCGAGGGGCCGCATCACCGCGTCCGTCCGGGAAGCGCCCGGGAGCGGAAGCGGGAAGCCCGCGCCTCGTGGCCGGGTCCAGGGCTGGGCGGCTCGCGGGGACGCTCCTGCCGGCCGGGCCCCCCTCCGTGGGCGTGGAGGTCCGGGCGGGGCGCCTGCACCTTGGTGACGTGGCCGGGCCCGCTGGTCCCGGGAGGGCTCCTCCCGCGGCGGTGCCACCTCGCGCTCCAGCCCCCACCTCCTATCCCGGGCAGGGCCCGTTTCCCGAGACGCGCCCGCCCGAGCGGTGACGTGACGCGGCGTCCCCGGCTGCGCCCGCGCGCGCCACTTGGGGCTGCGGTGAGTCAGCAGCGCCGTTGCGCCCTCTGCCGGCCCCACCCGGGAGCGCCGCCCGGAGTCCCGGGGAGGGGGCGCCGCGCTGCCGGAGCTGTCGAGTTGGCGACGGGACTGCGGGCAGGGGGAACCCCGATAGGGGACAGAAGACTCTAAGTCCAGACCCTAGCACTGCCTGACCTGGGAAACTGAGGCTGGACCGGCAGCTAGTTCAAGGTCACTGGCGGGGAAGGGGGAGTGCCCCGTGGCGGCGGGGCGGGGGCTGAGGTCTGGCCTGGGCGGTGCTGGCTACTCGGAGCCCCTCCCACTCCATACCTCGGTGGGCTTCCTAGGGTCGGAGGGACCCCAACCTTGCTGCCTCAGGAACAAAGAAAAGTGGGGACACCCTCCTCGCCTCGTGCCCTCCTGCCCCGCACTCACCGGGCGTGGCCAGTCCAAGGTCCCCGCAGTCCTGAGAGTACCCGCGTCCGGGACCGAGTGCGTGGTGGCCTGGCTGGTCTGGGGCAGAGCGGGCGGCCCCGGAGCCTTTATCCTCGCCGCCTTCCCTCGGGGTGGAGTTTGGGCGGGCAGGGGGCGGGGGGGGCCGGGCGGACGGTGACGCAGGCTGGCCCCCGCCCCTGCTTGCCAGCCAGGGTCCTGGGGCTCAGTAGGGCATGGACCACCCTGCCCCCAGGCTTCTCCCAGTAAAGGGAGGGCACCCCTTGAATGCCACTGAGCAGAGGGTCTCAGCGTACTCGGATGCACCCCAAGTCAGCTGCCAGCACAAAGCCTCAGGGTGCCCGGCCCACTCCCTGCCCCGCCCCCTTTCCTGCTGCCCCAGGCCTGGTGCTTCCGCGTGGGGGACAGGAAGGGGGGCCTGAGTCAGCGCCGCCGTCCAGGAAAACACGGAGTCACCTGCCGTGGAGTGGGGGTGCCCGGCCAGCTGCCCGGCAGCCTGACCTTCTGCATCCCTTAACGGTGACCTCAGAGGGCGTTTAGGGAGCGATTTGCCCGTGCCAGGCCTGCCTTGTGCCCTGCCAGTCACCAGGCAGCCACGCTGTGTGACATCTGGAAGTTATGGGTCTCTCTGAGCCTGTTTCTCAGGGCTGGGGAGTGGAATGAGGGAGCGTTTCAGGGCTCACTCTGGGGTCTTGCTCCATTAGTGCACCCACCTATGCTGGCACCCTGCTTTTGGGGTGGGCATAGCCACCCACTTTACAAAGAAACTTGAGGCCACACAGGATTGGGGGACACTGGGTGGGTGGCTTCCCAGGAAGCCTGCCCCCTCTGCCCAGAGAAGGGGGACCCCAGGCTCTACCCCAGCACCTCTTGTCCACTTATCTGGTTCCTTCCTTTATCTGGAGTGACCACCGCTACCCCCACCCTCATCTGGGTGCCCCTCCCAAGGCTGTGCTCCCACCCAAGGCTCCCTGCAACCTCCAGCCCCCACCTTGACACAGGTGCACCCAGGCACCCCCAACCCTGCAGGATCACAGCTGTGCCAGAGAGGCTAGAAGTCTTGGGATGGGGTTAACGGGCTGGGTTTTGAGGGATGAATAGGAGTTTGTCAGAGGATGATTCTTCAGGAAGCAGGAGTAGCTTGCCCATTGAGCACTGGGAGCTCAAGAGATGGCACTGGAGAGCAGAGAGGCAAGGTCTGGTACTGGGGCCAGGCGGAGGGGCTGGGGGGCTCTAGGTGGTACGACCTGCTGGGCCAGCTTTGTTCTGCTTCCAGAGAGAACAGAGGTGGCAGCAGAAGCTGTGGGCTCCAGAACCCAGAGCCTCCAATGTTGGCGGGCAGCCTGGGTGGGGCAGGGGACTCCCTGATCAGCCCCTGCCCCTCGTCCTCCTCTAGGCAGGTGGCATGAGGCTGGGGGTTACCACTGGGGTGGGGAGGACTCTGCAGCCTGGAACCATAACCTGCTGGCCGGGAGTGGAACTGGACACATGGAGCTCTGGGGACATGCTAGACGCTGTGACAAGAGGGGATCACTTGGTGGCATAGGACTGTGGCCCTTTGGGTACAAGATGCTCTGGATGGTCAGACTTAATAAACATATTTCCCAGTCCCCATGGCTGAGGTGTTTGTTCCCAGGTGTGAGAGGGGACCAAAGAGGCACTCAGTGGACCTTCCTGGGATGGGGACAAACACTCATGCTCTGTCTTGCCCTGCTGTCATGAAAGGGTCTTGACCCCTTGGTTCCTGAGCCTCTGCCCCAACACTCGCCTTGTCGGCACTGCTGTTCCGGAGGGATGTGGTAAGGGCTGGCATCCTGAGGCCCAGCTCAAAGACTCATACCTCCCTCAGGGGTGGGGACAGGGCCCCCAGTGTGGGGTGTGCTGGCCCAGGCCAGGGACAGGCTCCTCCTGCTGGGCCCCTGCCAAGCCCCAGCTGTGTCCTTGGTCTTATTTATAGGGCTCCATGGCCTGGCCAGGACCTGAGGGACAGCAGAGGAGGCCTGGGCAGGGAGGCTGTATTTGGGATCTCGTGGCAGGCACCACCTTCCCTGGGCTGGGTTCCTGGGAAGCAGGGGGCTGGCTCCTTGCCCCTCAGGACCAACGGGAGTGGGCCCCAGACAGGGGGCCACCCTGCAACAGTTACCTGATCTGCTGACAGGCTGCCCCCTAGCTGGGAGCAAGCCTGGAGCACCCCCCCGCCCCCCGCCTTGCACGCACTCAGCTCTCACATCCATGCCTTGCATGCAGCCATGGAGAGTCACTCACATGGGACCATGACACATGCATGAGCTGCCTGTCCATGCTGACAAGCCCTGGGTGACATAGGCAGGCCCCAAGTCTCCACATACTCACCACCCTGGAATCCCCTCCCCCACAACAGCCCTGTCCCAGGGAAGGGAGGAGTGGCAAGGAGACCTCTGTCCCCCAGGCTGCCTGCAACTACCTGAAGAGAGGCAGGACAGTGCCAGGGAGCCACCCCCTTCTAGGCCCATCCCACCCCTTCTAGGACCAGCCCAGAGGCCTAGATGCCAGGGAGGTGCCAACACCACTGGAGATTAGGCACTTGGCCAGGCCCGGGCCACCCACAGGCTGGGCGTGCACAAAGTGGGGCCCACCTCTTCCCAGGGTGGCTGGGGTGGGGCGGGGCAGGGCGAGGCTACAGAGAGCTTGGCTTGCCACCATCAGAGCACCAGGCCTGGGGACCAGGAAGCCGGCACAGGTGTCTCCCTCCCTAGTGCCCCTAACCTGGCTCCAGGAGTGGCGGCTGCTCCCCCTCCCTGCCCATGTCACCTTGGCTGGTGACCATTGCCTATCCCTACCCTCTGGGGGTGAAGGCCAACACTCTGCCCGATGCTCACCTGGCTGCACCCCTGCAGAGCTGCCTGTATCCCAAACACTACTCTGGAGCCCTCCCAGGTAGTCCCTGGAGATTCAGAGGCTCCATCTCATGTGGGGCACAGAAGGCCAAGGGAGAGGCCCAGAAAGGTCACACTGGCCCAAGCAGGAGTGACAGAACAGTGAACACAAGTCAGGCTTCTTGGTCTTTAATGAGGGCGTGGGTTGAAAGCAGGTTGCCTGTGGAGGTGGCTCCGGAGCACAGAGGTCCCAGCGGCAGGCTCTGCAGGGCACAGGGGTGGTGTTGGGCCTGTCAGGACACGGGTGACCCAGCTCCCAAGCCTGCCAAAGCTGGTGAGGGGCTTGTTCCTCCTTGGGTCTTGGGCACAAGGGCAGGGCCAGAGGCCGGGTCAGAAACCTGGGCTGTGCTGCCCCCTGGTGGCCTGCGTGGCAAGCACAGCTCCCCCAAGACCACTCTGGGGTTTGTTGGCCCCTGCTGACAGCCGGAACCCGAACCCCAGGGAGCTGGTTCCACCTGCCTGGGATATCCCCTCTCAGCCGCAAGCCTCGGTTTCCCTGCTGAGGAGGGACACGCACCGACAACCTACTCCAGGGCCTTCACCAGGGCCTCATTGGCCTCGATGCGGATCTGGATCTCTGCCCTTGCTGCCTCGTCCGCTGCCCCCGACAGCTCCGCCTGCGCCTTCTCCAAGTTCGCCTTGGCTGCCTGCAGGGAGCAAGCAGGGGCTGAAGGCAGAGCAGGGACTGCAGCCCAGCACCTGCCTCTCCACTGGGCTCCCTCCCCAGTAGCCAGGGAACTCTTGGGCAGTTTTGACCGGCTCTGAGCCTCAGTTTCCCCTCTGACACTCACCCCAAGGTCCAGCATGTCCAGCGTCACTGCCTCTTCGGCCAGTAACTGCACTGAGGAGTCGGCATTCACCGTGACAGAGCCACTGCTCACTGCAGAGGGAAGACATGACACCCCACATCCAGGCAGGTGGCCCTGGCACCTTCTCCTGAGCTCCACACACCCCCAAATCTGCACCCTGGGTGTGCTAGAAGCCACTGGCCAAGGGTGACACCCATAGGACTGGCCCTAGCGCCCAACAGGGAGAAATGTCTGGAGAGAAAAAACGAGAAAAATACCCCAAGAGAGGACAGACAACAGGAAGCTGCCTAAGGACACACATGGGACCAGGGGGCCACCAGAGGCCTTTGCTGAGGGAAAGGGCCCCCTCTCCCTCCAACCTACGAGCCCAGGAGTTGAGCTAGGGTCAGAGGCAAAACCGTGCTGAGCTCGATCCCTGGTTCTACAACTGCAGACAAGTGACGCAGAGAACAGCTTTCTTAGAATTGGTTTCTCCCCACACAAATGCCCTCCACCAAAATCGACTGCCCCTCTCCTGCACGTTTTCTTTATTCTTCGTTTTTTCTGAGATACGGTCATGCTCTGTGACCCAGGTTGGAGTGCAAGGACGTGATCACAGCTCACTGCAGCCTCCAACTCCTGAGCTCAAGCGATCCTCTCCTGCCTCTGCCTCCCGAGTAGCTGGGACTGCAGGCACCACCACACCCAGCTAATTTCTTCTGACTTTTTCTGAAATCAGGGTCTTGCTATGTTGTTCAGGCTGGCCTCAAACTCCTGGCCTCAAGCAATCCTCCTGCCTCAGCATCCCAGAGTGTCAGGATTACAGATGTGAGCCACTGTGTCTGGCCCCCAACATCATTTTGCTTCTCTTCCTAGTGTCTGTCACCCATTGACCCATCACACCTTGGTTAATTCGCAGTCAGTCCTAAGCTGGGAAAGAGCAAAGTTCTGTCTGCTTTGCTTCTTTCTGTATCAGGATACTCATGTCACTACCCAGCCTGGGCTGTGTCACAGACACATCTGCTAAACTTTACTTTTCTCAGGGCTCCAACTGAGAGGAGACTGACCTGCTGCACTTGTGGGCCCTGCCATGCTGCGGTCCACTGGACTTACCAAAGTACTTGGAGGTGGTGCCATCCTCTGCGTGCACCACGACCATCCCGGGACGGAGGACCTGCAGAGTAGGCACATGGGCTGCCAGGATGCCAAAGGCTCCAGTCAGCGTGGGCACATCCACCTGCCGGACGTTGGCATTGTTGAAGAACACCTGTAGAGTAGAGCACGGGGAACCCCATTACTGCAGGCCAACCCCACCCACTGCCACGGGGACTCAGTGTCTCCTGTGGTGAAACAGATCAAGGCAGGACCCCGCACTTATGAGAGGTGAGGTGGGGTCCAATGCTTTGTAGTTTTTTTGTTTTTTTGCTTTTGAGACAGAGTCTTGCTCTGTTGCCTGAGCTAGAGTGCTGTGCGGTCAGCCTAGCTCACAGCAACCTCAAACTCCTGGGCTCAAGCAATCCTTCTGCCTCAGCCTCCTGAGTAGCTGGGACTACAGACATGCGCCACCATGCCCAGCTAATTTTTTTTCATATATATATATATTTTTAGTTGTCCAGCTAATTTCTTTCTATTTTTAATAGAAACGGGGTCTCTTGCTCAGGCTGGTCTTGAACTCCTGACCTTGAGCGATCCTCCCGCCTCAGCCTCCCAGAGTGCTAGGGTTATAGGCGGAAGACACCACGCCCGGCTAATGCTTCGGTTTTGACGCTGGGACGGCTGCGCCTCAATTTACTCATCTGGGAACGGAAACGCGGCGATGTGCATTCACTGGGAGAGAGCACGCGGCGGGCCAGCCCGAGGGGACCCCGGGGCGCGGCGGGGGCACCTGAGGCCTTAGGGGAATCGCACTGGGGAGAGGGGGGCCCTAGTGCTGAGGTGGGGCCTTGGCTCCGACCCCAGAGAGACAGGGCGAAGGGAACAGGACCGGGGGGCGACCGCAGCGCGTCCGGAACCCCGCGGCGTCGCACCTGCGTGGGGGAGGCGAAGGTGAAGGACATCTGGCCGGGGCCGGCAGCGGGGGCCGGGGCGGCGGCGGCCTCGGCGTAAGCGCGAGCCTGGCGCACAAGGCGGCCCAGGCCGGGGCGGCGGAGCAGTGCGGCGGGCAGCATGGCGGCGGCGGCGGCGGACTCCGGCCGGACCCGGCGGCCTGGAGGGCGAGGAGGACGACGGAGGCGCAGGTATGTCTGGGAGAAGGAGTCCCGGTGAGAGCGCACGCGCGAACCACGTCTACGGGCAGGCCGCGCTCGGGGCTGACGTCAATGGGCCCCACCGCGCGGGGCATGCTGGGGGAGGTAGTTTTTTTGTGGGTTTTTTTTTGAGACAGAATCTCACTCTGTTGCCGGGGCTAGAGTGCCGTGGCGTCAGCCTAGCTCACAGCAACCTCAAACTCCAGGGCTCAAGCGATCCTCCTGCCTCAGCTTTCCGAGTAGCTGGGACTACAGGCATGCGCCACCATGCCCGGCTAATTTTTTCTATATGTTTTTTGTTTGCCAATTAATTTCTTTCTATTTTTAGTGGAGACGGGTCTCTCCTGACCTTGAGCAATCCACCGGCCTCCGCCTCCCAGAGTGCTGGGATTACAGGCGTGAGCCACCGCGCCCGGCCGAGGATGTACTTTCCTTCTGGCCCCGCTATGTGAGCGGCCCCCCGCCCCCACGGGTGTCAGAGGAGGGCGGGTGAGACGGTTGGGGACGGGAAAGGGGCACTTGAGCTCCAGTGTCGCTCATGACTTTGGGGGTGTTCACTGAACGCCAGGCGCTGGAGAGACAGCAGGGACACATTGAGATTCCTGCTCTGGATTTGTGGAGGGAGGCTTTAGCCGACATGTGACATAAATGAGCAGGTCGTGCAGCGTGTTCAGTGGTGACAAATGCAACAAATAAATAAACGAGCCCCGAGTAAGGGGGCAGCATGGGGCAGGTGTAGACAGGTGCAGGTGCAGGCGCAGGTGCGCCCGGGGCCGCCCCGGGGCAGAGGGCGGGGGCTGGGGAGGCGGCGCCGGAGGGGCCCCGGCGCCGGCAGAGGGCGCCCAGCGCCCGGAGATGCGTTAGCCGCAGCCGGCCCCCTCCAGGCCGCCGCCCCCGCGCGACACTGACGCAGGAGCGCGTGCGCGGGCGGCCCAGGGCTCCGCTGACGTCAGGCGCGGCCCGCGCAGCCTCGTTCGTGGCCATGACGTCACCGCCCCGCCCGCGCGCTCACGCAGATCGGCGGCCCCAGCTGGGCCCCTTCAGCGCTGCCCCTCCCCCCACCTCCGCTCCCTGGGGTCGGGGAGAAAGCGGGGATGGGGCACACACTGGGCCTGGCGAGGGGGTGCAGAGGGCTGGACCCCAGGGGTGCAGGGAGCAGGGGAGGGTCGCAATGACACCTGGGCCTGGGCTGGGTTTGATGGCCTTATGATGATGCAGCCATGGAGACCCAGAGCCTCCCTCCCATGGTGGGCAAGTCCCATACCTTCCGTGGCTCCCCAAACCTGGAGGTTGCACCCCTGCTCCCTGCCCGTATTCCAAGGTGCACCAGGGCGTCCTGCCCCGAGGATCTGGGTAGCTGAAGAGGGTCCCGCCAGCACTAGGCAGGACAGAGGCCGGGGCCTGCCCTGGCTCCTCCCTGGGCCTACGCTGCGAATGGCGCTTGGGGTGTCAGTCCTAATGCCCTGGGTATTCCGACCCGGGGTAAGGTGCAGAGTAAAGCCCTGCTCACTTTCTAGGAGCGTCCTGCGGGCACCCCCAGCCTCTCCTGGACCCCGCATCCAGCTGCCACTTCAGGAAGCTAGGAGGTCTAGTGGGCTCCTCAAACTCATCCATTGTGCAACTCTCTCCTATCCCCACTCGGGTGGCGCTGGTGTCAGGGCCCCAAACATGGGGTTATCCTAGAAATCCATTCTGCCTGGCCCGGCCACTGTGGCCACCCTCTCCCTCCTGGATAGGCCCCGCCCCGTTTCCTCCCTGCCTCGCCACAATGTGTCTTATCCAACAGCCAAACAGAATCGGTCTTCTTTTAAAAAACTGAAACCTGTTCCTGCTCCCTCCAACACACAGATACTCTGCAAACACACGATTCTACCTCAAGGCCTTTGCCCATCCAGTGCCTGCTGGCCTGGACCCAGCTTCCCTAAGGCAGCCACCCCACAGTCACTTGCCCATTCGTTCCTTCGTGTGCTGGCCCTGTGCCGGGCACTGGCACCCACACTAGACAAGTTCCTGCCCTTGGAGCTCACAGTGTAGTTGGGACCAGATCACACACAAGAGCGGGTAAGAGTCTCAAGGAGAGAGTCGGGTAGGGGATGGGAGGTGTGACACTCGTACTCGTGGCCAAAAGGAGGTGCGCGGAGTCTTTGACGCTTGGGAAAAAACTTGGGGGGTCTTTCAGCGCAATGGACAGAAAGCCCTCCACGGTGGGCACCTTGGAGTGCACAGGCCCTGAGGTTGGCTATGGCTGTGGGGTTCCTGGAGCACTGTCAGCCTTTTCTGGATGAGAAAGAGGTGCCATTGCAGGGTGCTGAACACGGGCCCAGTGGGGCTGGGATGTCTCAGAGGGAGAAGTCAGGTTTGGCTCCTGCTGGTGTACTGGTGACGTCACCCCACGAGGAGCAGGCATCTGTGGGCTCGTTTGGGCCCGGGTGACACTCAGCACAGCTTTGAGTATCTGCTATGGTTTGCTCATTTGCTGTCCTGAAAGGGAAGAGGAGAGGGGAGGGGGCTGGTGGAGCGTGCTGAGCCCTTGGCAGTGCGGGGGGGGGGGGGGGGGACCCGCATCGGCGTGCAGGTGCTGGGCGTGTGCCTCCCAGATCTCTTGGCCTGTGCATCTGGGGACCCCCAGACTGAGGGCAGCTGTGCCCCAGAGGGGCCCTGGCTGTGCATCTCCATATCCCCACGGGAGAAGCAAGATAGGAAGGGGAATCGGTGTACCGTGGACTCCCCCGTGGTGCATCTCAGAGCCTAGAGGAGTAATCCTGCGTCCCAGGACCTTCCCCCCAGCCAGCTGAGTCTCTGGGGACCTGGGTTAGGTGAGTCGTCCAGAGGGGTGGGAGCGGGGGACCCGGCCGCCAAGGAGGGGGCCAGCTCCGTGCACTGAGGGGGCGCGGGGCGGAGCGTAAGCTCCGCCCCCCGCCCCCGCCGGAAGGGAAGAGGAGGCGGTGGCCCGCGCGCAGTGAGCCAGAGCCGGCGGCGAGCGCGGCGGGGGCGGCCGGCCTGGGACCGGGCAGCACCGGACGCACCGGGCGGGCGCGCCGCCAACGCGGTCACGTGCGCGGCCCCTCCTCTCGCGCCGGCCTCCCCCGCGCGCTGCTCTCGCTCCATTCATAAATTCTCCGCCTGCTCCGCGGCCACCAGGCGCCGGAGCGAGCCGGGAGCGCCGCGCAGCCGCTCGCCCGCCCGCCGCCCATGGGCCGCGCGCCCCGGCGCTGAGGTAGGCGCGGCGGGCCCGGGGCTGCACCGGGCGGGCGGGAGGCGGGCCGGGGATCAGGGCCAGCTCTGGGGCCCGCCCTAGCTCTGGACCATCGCCCATCCCTGTTCGGATGCGCGGCGGAGGGAGGGCGCGGAAGAGCCCGGGCGGGTGTGGGGGCCGGCTTCGGAGCTCTGTAGCCCCTGGCCCGACGGCCCGGACCGGACAAGGACCCCCGCCCACGCCTTTCCTCCGCCACAGTTTCCCCTGTAACATCGGGCGAGGGCGATGGCGTTTTCGGCCTCTTGGTTTAGCCAGGGTTTGCGTGGAGCCTGATGTCAGGTTCTCTCCCTGTCCTCGGGCCGGCGGGGGGGCGTGGGGCTGCCCCCTGGGGAACCTCCGCCCACGCTGCCGCACTGGCTCCCTCCCCCTAGCCCACCTCTCTTCCCCTCGGCCTCCTGCCATCTTTCCCGGTCTCCTACTGCCACCGTCCTGTGCCTCTGCCCCACCCCCTCCAGCCTGAACTCATTTTCCGACCTACATATGCGCCCCCATTCCCCAGTATTGGGGAGCCCCGGCCATCCTCTGACCCGGAGCCCTGAGGACACCTGGCCAGGGTTAGGACCCTCCCCTTCTCTGGGCCTCGGTTTCCCCAATTTCAAGTGGCAGTTAAAGCCCGTAAGGGACTTAGGAGGCTGGAGGCTGTACGCTCCTCTTTTTCTGGTAAAGGGCCTCGCGCTCGCCGGGCCATGCCAACTCGGGGCTGCTGGGCCTCCCAGGCGGTTTCCAGGGACGCCGGGGTCCTTTCCGCCTCGCTGGCGGTGGGACAGGTGCAATTTCCAGGGACCCTTTTTCCCCGAGTACTGAGCTCCCCTCCCTGGCCTCAGTTTCCCCCGCGCGTAAGGCCGGCCAGCCGGGCCTGGGCGAGGCTGCCAGGCGCCCGGGCTTGGGCACCGGCGGGGAGGGCGCAGCGGCCATCTTGCAGCCCAGGCCACCGCGCGCCGCCCCTGCAGGAGGCCTCCCTCCCCCGCGCCCCCTCCCCGCCCCTGCTCCCTGGCAACCCGCCCCCCCCAGCCTCGGCCTGCTGGCTCGGTCGCCATGGGAACCAGATTCTTCAGGGCTGGGAACAGATGCGCCGCCTTTGTCCTTTTCACTCTCGCTGGCGGTCTGCAAAGGGGACATGTACCTCCTGGAGTCAGGACCCTGTCACCGCTTAGCCCTGTCCACCTGTGTGGGCGGACGGGGTGGGGAGGGGTTCTCTCTTCACCGGTCTATGACTGGGGCCCTGCCAGGGGGTAACTGGAGTCTCTTGGGCTGGGGCAGCCCACGGTCACCTGATGGGAACGACGGGGCACCTGGGGTCTGGCCTGAGCGAGCTGCACGGCCTCAGTTTCCCCATTCTTCCAGTGGGTGCTTCCCCTTTCCCAGCCAGAGCTCCCAGCCTGGTGCTGCATACTGGGCGGGCCCCACCGGCTGCAGAGGTAGCTGCGATACTCACACACGCGCATAGGGCATCACCGCCCCCATTTTTAAGACGGGGAAACAGAGCTAGAGAGAAGGCCCCCGCCCGGGTCGCTAGGGGCTGATCTGAGTAGGGTGGGGGCTGCTCTGGGGCTCTCCCCAGCTCTCAGTGAGTCACTGCCGTGTGGGTTTCTGCTCTCGGCAGGGGAGGGGGGCGCGCTGCAGTGGCTCCTGTGGGGAGGGGCTGGCAGCGTTGGAGCTGAGCAGACCCTGTCCCTCCAGGCCCCTCAGACCCACCTCAGAATGCAGCCCACAGCCACCATGGCCACAGCGGCTGCCACCACTGCCACAGTGGCCCTGACAACGTCGTGGGACAACGCCACTGGCCGTCCCACGGTGGGTGAGGGAGGCAGGGTGAGGGTGGGGGGGATGGGATGTTAGAGTCCAGGCCAGCACAGTCCTGACCCGCCCAGTGTGGCCCGCAGGCCGAGCCCGACCCCATCCTGGACAACTACGTGCTGCTGGTGGTGGTGATGTCGCTGTTCGTGGGTGGCACGCTGGTGGTACTGTCCGGGGTCCTGCTCCTCTGCAAACGCTGCTGGGAGGTGCACCAGCGCTTCAACAGGTGCGAGCCCCACCCTGGTTCTGGGCAGGTGCACAGGGGGTGCACATGGGCACCAACTGGGTGGTGTGGGTGCACTGGTGCCATGGGGTGCACAGTGCGTCCAGGCAGAGGCCTCTGATGACAGGGTCCCCGCAAGCAGGTGCGCGGGATGTGGCTCCAGGGCACCTGGACCTTGGAGGCTGCCTGGGCCCTGTCCCATCGGCTTCTCCTGCTGTCCCTCCCAGAGCCATGGAGGAAGCTGAGAAGACCACTACCACCTACCTGGACAACGGCACCCACCCGGCCCAAGGTGAGGCGCCCGGCCCGCCACCCTGCTGGGCCATCCGCCTGCCTGTCCGCCCCTCGGCCACCCGCCTGCCCCCTCGGGCCGCCTGACCGTCTGTGTCTGTCTGTCTCCCCCACCAGACTGGGCGCAGCTCGATTCCGACTCATCTCTGTTTCCTTAACGCCCAGGCGTAGGTGCGCACAGGCGCGTGCTGAGCGAGTGAGTGTGTGAGCGGATGAGCGAGTGCCCGCCCGCCCCGCTGCCCCGGCCCGCCCCGCGGTCAGTCGGGCCCCTCCCCTCCTCCTCCCACCCCCTAGCAGCCTGCCTGGGCCAGGCGCAGCCCACCTGGGGCCCACCCTCTGCTGCCTCTCCATGCAGACCCCGACCTCAGGGGGGAGGACCCCGAGGGCCAGGACGCAGAGACCGAGCGCTTCCTGACCACCAGCTCCACCGGCCGCCGGGTCTCTTTCAACGAGGCGGCCCTATTTGAGCAGAGCCATAAGGCGCAGGACAAGGGTCGCCGGTGAGGAGTGTGGCAGGGGCCTGGGTTCCACGGGAGGGCATTTCTTGTCTGGGTGACGTTTCTCGTGGTGGAGCCCAGGGCAGAGAGCAGACGGGGGCTGGGGGTATCCAGCAGGTTGGAGGTGGGGCCGAGGCCAGGGCCCGGGGGTGAGCTGAGCATCCGGGCTCCCCGCAGGTATACCCTGACGGAGGGGGACTTCCACCACCTGAAGAATGCCCGCCTCACCCACTTGCACCTGCCGCCCCTAAAGATCGTCACCATCCATGAGTGTGACTCGGGCGAGGCCAGCTCCACTGCCACCCCCCACCCGGCTGACACCCCCAAGGCCAGCCTGGCCATCTTCCAGGTGAGCTGGTGGGACAGCAGCCAGCTGGGGCCTCAGAGGATGGGGGTTGACCCCAGGGCTCTCCAGACCCCCACTGTGGGCTGGGCCTTTCATCTTAGGACAGGCAGGGAGCCTGGCTGGGGTGGCTGGGGGTGGGACCCTGAGCTCAGCACACCCCTCACCCACCCATGCTCTTTGACCTGTCACTGCTTCCTCCCCCACCGGCTCTGTCCCACAGCCCCCGGGGAAGGCCCTCACCGGCCGCTCCGTGGGCCCCAGCTCCGCCCTGCCAGGTGACCCCTACAACTCAGCAGCGGGTGCCGCCGACTTCGCGGAGATCAGTTCTTCTGCATCTACTGACTCCGGGGAAGGCACCTCGGTGAGGGGCCCACGTGTGTCCCACAGGGCATTCGGGCCATGGCAGGCTCCTTCCCCTCCCTGCCTGCACTTGGTCCTGGACCTGCCCCGGCCATCCTTACCCTGCCTGGTCCCCCACACGCGGGAGTAAGAGGGAGCAGGTGTGTGCTCACACATGCGAGGGTACCCCAGGGCCCCCCGTCCAGCCCGAGCCATGGATGAGAGCACCTAGACACTTGCCCTGGAAACCCCTCTCCCCGCAAACCCCGTATCCAGGGTCCTTCCCGGGACAGCAGAGCCAGCCTGAACCAGCTGAACACCCTGGGGAGCCTCTCAGAGGCAGGAGGGTCTGGGGGGAGTCCACCCACACAGAGTGCCCGCCCCTGCTGCCTCTGCCCTCTCTGAGTAGGACCCCGTCTGTCCACGCGGTGGGTGGAGGCCTTGGGGTCTGATGGGTCTGTGTGCCTGAGAGCTAGCTGTTCCTGTCCCCTCCCAGTTGGATGCAGGTACCAGGAGCACCAAGGCTGGTGGGCCCGGGGCTGCCACAGGTCCTGGGGAGGCGGGCCCGGGCTCAGGGGCAGGCACCGTGCTGCAGTTCTTCACCCGTCTACGCCGCCATGCCAGCCTGGATGGGGCCAGCCCCTACTTCAAGGTTAAGAAATGGAAGCTGGAGCCCAGCCAGCGGGCGGCCAGTCTGGACACCAGAGGTGAGCTATGGCCCCTGGCTGGGAGCGGGCTCAGCAGGGGGTGCCCAATGCTACCCTGGGGTAGGGCTGGTGCTCCAGGGACCTGGTGCCCACCCCAAGCTGGCCGGCAGCTCTGTCTATTGGTAGGTGTCTTGCCCAAGGTACCTCACCAGGTCAGGAGGATGACCCAGGCCATGCCCTGTGCCCTGGCTTGCCCAGGAAAGGCTGTCAGGGTCGGTTTGAGGCAGATCCACCCAGCTCTGAGGCCCCTGTGCCGGGGGCGTCCCAGGGGTCCCGGCCACTCTCTGTGTTCAGGGTGCAACAGGGCGGTAAAGGAGGAAACTGTCTGAGGCTGCCAGGTCACTGTGGAGTTGGGAGGGCTGGCCAGCTGGCCTGGATCCCCTCCTGGGTCACGGCCCCTGGCCTATGTCCATAGGCACGAGTCTTACCCTGACAGATCAGGATGTGAGAGGTGGGGTCCCCAGGAGCCCCATCCTGGTCTCCCTGGAGGGAGCCTCATTCTAACTATGGGGTGACCTTGGGCAGTCCTTATGCCCGTGTGAGCTTTGGCTTCCCCTGACATGAAGCAGTAGGGCCAGGGTAGGCCAGGGGTCACAGGTGTTTTCCACAAGGCCCCAGATGGTAATGTTTTTGGTCTTGTGGTCAGACAGGCACTGTGTCAACTGTTCAGTGCCACTGCTGCAGGGCAGCCATAGACTGTATGTGATGAATGAGCATGACCATGTGCCAATAAAACTTTATTTACAAAAACAAGTTGCCTGGCTGGGCGAGGTGGCTCACGCCTGTAATCCTAGCACTCTGGGAGGCTGAGGCGGGAGGATTGCTCCAGGTCAGGAGTTCGAGACCAGCCTGAGCAAGAGCGAGACCCTGTCTCTACTAAAAATAGAAAGAAATTAATTGGCCAACTAAAAATATATACAAAAAATTAGCCAGGCATGGTGGCGCATGCCTGTAGTCCCAGCTACTCGGGAGGCTGAGGCAGGAGGATCACTTGAGCCCAGGAGTTTGAGGTTGCTGTGAGCTAGGCTGATACCATGGCACTCTAACCCAGGCAACAGAGTGAGATTCTGTCTCAAAAAAAAAACAAAACAAAACCAAAAAACCCAAGTGGCTTGCCTGTGGGCTGTAGTGCGCAGACCCGTGTAGTAGTTGACAGCAGCCATTCAATTCTGCAGGCCCTGGGTTGCATGTGGCCCTGGGAGTCCCAGGCCCGAGGTGGAAGTGTGTTTGTGGTGGGGAGGCAGCCCCTACCCAGAAAGCACAGGAGCAGCCATCAGGCCGGAGGGAGCTCTGCAGGGCAGCGCAGCTCTGAGGGCCTGGGGCTAGGTCAGGCTGCTGGGGGCACCCGCTGCCCTCTGGAGGAGGTGGCAGGTCATGTTTGGCTGCCCTGTTCCAGCAGAGAGGACACAAATCTTGGGATGAAGGGGGCCAGGAGTCCTGATGGTGACTGTAGTCAGATGTGGTGACAGCAGGGCCCAGAACCTGTTTGCTGGGTAACTGCCCTTGCCACCCAGGCCTGCCTGCTGAAGCCTCCGCAGGGGAAGGGCCTGGCCCCTGGCCAGGGGGCCTTGGGCAGAGGCAGGGCAACCCGCTGCACTCCCAGGGTGGAGCTGGCAGGAGAGGGCATCTCTCTCCTTTACCTTACTAGTCCCCACCAGCCTGTCCCAACTCTCCCATGCCTGTCAGCTTCCATACTTGAGCTGGGCTGTGCCTGTCACCAGCTGTCCAGAGAAGGTTCTCTCAGTGGGCTGTATGTTTGGCCAGGGATGCCCTGGGGCACTGCCACCCGAGGCTCTCTCTGGCCTGCCCTGGCTTTCCTGGGGTCTCTGGTCCCAGCCCTTCTGCTCTTATGCCCACTCCCTGTGTGTATGTGTGGAGGGGCAGAGACATGTGTGTGTATTGGGGCACACGGGTGGGGGGGCAGAGACAGGGTGTTGTGTGTGGGGGGGGCAGAGACGTGTGTGTGTGCGTGTGTGGGGGCAGAGACAGCCTGACGAGCCTTCCCTAAGCAGGTTCCCCAAAGCGACACCACTTCCAGCGGCAGCGGGCAGCCAGCGAGAGCATGGAGCAGGAGGAGGGGGACATGCCCCACGCGGACTTCATCCAGTACATCGCCCGTGCAGGCGACGCCGTGGCCTTCCCGACCCCCCGCCCCTTTCTGGCCAGCCCCACCAGCCCGCCCCCCGCTCTCGGCAGGTATTTTTCAGTAGATAGAGGTGCTAGGGGTGGACCTGTGGGCCCCTGTCCCACTCTGCCCCCACTAGGCAACCCAGGGAGCACTCTCCCGACTCTGTGGACACGAGTTCGCCTCCCTCCAACGGCAAGGCCCCTCCCAGAGGCTGATTCTCTGGGGCCACCTCTCCAGCATGGACTGGGTAAGGGTAGGGGGGAGTGGGTGAGGGCCCCAAAGATGGCTCCAGGTTCCCTAAGACAGGACACCTGCTTGCCAGGGGTACGTGCCCAGCCTGGTACTGCCACTTCCTGGTGGAGTCTGAGGCCTGAAGGGCTCTGCCAGGGTCCCAGGCCCTCTCCCACTTACCCATGCTCCTGAGGGCTGTGCAGTCCCTTCTCAAAAACTGTTGTGAGTGTCTGTATCCGCTCCCCCAGTGCCCAGGGCCTACAGCAGTGGGATGAGGGAAGGGACCCAGGGAACAGAGCAGGGTTCCTTGGGCAGCTCCTAGTCCGGGTGGATAGTCCCTTCTTTTGTGTGTCACATGGTGGGCGGGTGAAGAGCCCTACCTGCCCTGGAGTAGGGCCTGAGCTGGACCCAACCTGGTCCACTGAGAGGCTGGGGAGAAGGCGACCCACGAGGCGTGTTACCTCCTCCGGAGGACCCATTCCCAGGAAGGCAGGGCACCTACAGTTTCCTCAGGTGCCTGGATCACACTTCAGGGGACACCCTGGTTGAAAAGCAGGCGCCAGAGCTCAGGGCTAATCCAAAAGCATGCCCTGCAAAATGGACAGACCCCATTTTAAAGCCCTCATCTCCTGGGTCCTGGCCGAGTCCCAAGGGTCCCAGCAGTGGGGTGGCCAGCTGGAAAGGGGGCACGGGCTCTGCGGGGCTCTGACAGCCACGGCCTGGCTTGCAGGCTAGAGGCGGCGGAGGCAGCGGGAGGAGTAAGCCCCGAGTCCCCCCCGGAGCGCAGCTGCGGTGAGAGGCCTGAGCACCAGCAGCAGCCGCCAGAGCCGGAGCTGGACACCGAGCGGGACTCGGGCCCCGAGCAGGCCCAGACCAGCTACCGCGACCTGTGGAGCCTGCGCGCCTCGCTCGAGCTGCACGCGGCCGCCTCAGACCACAGCAGCAGCGGCAACGACCGCGACTCGGTGCGCAGCGGCGACAGCTCTGGCTCGGGCTCTGGGGGCGCGGCGCCCGCCTTCCCGCCGCCATCGCCGCCTGCACCAAGACCCAAAGACGGCGAGGCGCGCCGGCTGCTGCAGATGGACAGCGGCTACGCCAGCATCGAGGGCCGCGGCGCGGGCGACGATGCCGAGCCGCCCGCTGTGCCCACCCGGCCCCGCAGCCCGCGCGCCTGGCCCCGCCGCCCACGCCGTGACTATAGCATCGACGAGAAGACCGACGCGCTCTTCCACGAGTTCCTGCGCCATGACCCGCACTTCGACGACGCACCGCCCTCCGCCGCGCGCCACCGTGCACGTGCTCACCCGCACCCACGCAAGCAGTGGCAGCGCGGCCGGCAGCACAGCGACCCCGGTGCACGCGCGCCCCCGCCCCTGGCCGGGGCCCCGCCCCCGGCTGCGGCCCGCCCCGCGCGTGCGCCCTTGCGACGCGGTGATAGCGTGGACGGCCCGCCCGATGGCCGCGCACTGGGCAGTGCGGGGGACGATCCCGCCATCCCAGTCATCGAGGAGGAGCCTGGCGGGGGCTGCCCCGGCTCGGGCCTGTGCGTCGAGCCCCCCGGGGCGCTGCTGGACAAGCTGGCGGCCGGCATCGAAGAGAGGCTGTTCCCGCTCCGCCTCGCCGAACCCGTCGTCACTGCAGCCACCACGCTGGTCGCCGCCGCCCCCACGTCTCCCGATCACAGCCCAGCCTAAGCCCTGTGCCCTGTGCCCACCTCTTGGCAGCTTCTCTGGCGCCGCGTGGGGACTCGGCGGCGGGAGACAGGCGGGGACGCGACGCCCGGCACGCATGCGTCGGGACCCCGGGGCCCTTAGCGAAGGCACTGGGCTGCGGACGCGCCCTCGCCTCCCTAGGGCGCATGCGCACAGCACGCGCACCGCCCGGACCCCCAAGCGCCCAGGAGGGGCGCACACGCGCAGGCCCCTGCGGCCGCTTCGCCGGGTACCTGAGGCTCGAGGTGCGAGGGCCCAGGCTGGGAAGGAAGGCAGGACACTGACAGGTCCTCACTCTGGGCGGAGGCACTGGCCTCGCAGGCGCGTGCGCGGGACCTGCAGCCCCCCCCAAAGACAGGAGACATGCGTGAGCCCCGGGGCTGGCACTGTCGCTGCTGCGGGTCGGGGAGGAGCCCACCGCCCCCAAGCCGTTTACCTCACCGCGGCGTGTGTTCGCGGCAGCCCTCACCCCTCCGAGCAATAACAGCGCCTGCCGCCACCGCCTCCTCCGGCCCTTGGACGCTGCTCCTCCCACTGCCTGGCCCGTGTCTGTCGCGCCCCCCGCCGCCTCGCATGCACCCGGTGCCTCCCTGTCGCCGGACTCCTCAGTGTTTGAGACGCAAACAAAACCCAAAGGCCAAGGCGTCAAGTTTCCCAAGCTTTATTTATTGCCAAAAAAGGGGTGAGCCCTCGCCTGCGTCGCCCGTCCCGCCCTTGACGCTTCGTGCCCAGTCTGTACCATCTGGTGATGGAGTTTCTCGTTGTTTTTGTTTTCTGGTTGATTATAAATATTTACTGCATACTCTCGCTCTGGGTTTTCTCTGGGGACCCAAGAGCCTCTAGCCTTGGGGGAGAAAGGGCCTGGGGTCTGGCCACGAGGCCCCAGGGGGAGGCCAGAGACCAAGCTGTGGCTGCCGACTCTGGCCCACCGTGCACCAGCTGGACCCGCACACCATCCACTGGAGACCCCAGGCCGGCGGGTGCGTGGGGGACCCTCGTCCCCCACCTGACTGCCCCTCGTGCCACCCAACAATTCCCAAACACCCCTCACAACCACAGCTCAAATCCACCTGTTTTATTTTTTCTTAAAAAAAAAAAAAAAAAATGGAACCAACCAAACAACAAAAACAAGGCAGCCACTTGGCTCCCTCTGGGCGGTTCTGCATGCATGGTGGTGACAGGAGGCCCCACACCAGCTTCTCTGTGGCTGTGGTCACTAGGCGTGGCGCCCTAGCGTAGCAGTGAGACAGACCAGGGAGGGGTGGCGGAGGGCCAGTAGTCTAAACATAAAGTGCTTCTCGAAGGCCGGGCCTCTCCCTACCAGCCCGGGAGGCTCTGCACAGGATTGCAAAGTCCACTGTCCACGGCCGTCCAGCAGTGCTGTGTGCAGACAGCCGAAGGGAGGGCCGGCCAGGTCCGTCCTGCCCCCCACCTGGCCCTCCGGGAGGCCCTGGTCCTGAGGAGCCGTCGGCACAGAGGCATGGCAACCTTCTCAGGCGGGCAGCGGCCAGAGTCGGCAGGAAGACTGAGGCACCAGCCCAGGCACCGGTGGGGGCTCCTGGAGACAGGCTGCAGGCAGGAGGGAGGGCGGAGGCAGGTCACTCTGGGTACCCAGACCTCCCCATCTCCGAGAGGCGGGCCTTGCCCATGGGCCTGCTGGCAGGGTAGGGAAACAGGTCCATACAGGGGCTGCTAGACTTCTGGGCCCTCACTGGGTGGGAGGCACCAGGGAAGGCCACCTTTGGGCCACTGCCAAGGAAATTAAGCACCGCCTTCTTGCAGCAGGACCTGGGCCTCCCCTGAAGCAGTTTCCCACCAGCCTGGCTGGTTCTGATGCAGGCAGATAAGCACTGGGGGCCCCATGGGGGGGCAGCTTGTGACTCAGGCAGTGACCCCAGCAGCATGGGAGAGGAGATATGGCTGGGTGGGGCCCTCACCCCACTGCCCACATACTCAGAAGACAGTGTTCTCCCACAAGCCCTGGGGCCTGCCCGCCCCCCATGAGAGCCTGGGGCAGAGGCAGGAGGTGCCCAGGGAGGGCCCAGGCAGCATCCAGGGTGACTCAGCTTCAGCCAGACCCCGGCAGACGCCCCGCTCCCCACGCCTCCGCACCACCCACCCACATAGCTGCCTCAAAGACTCTGGGTGGAGTCCAGCACAACCCTTTCCTGGGAGCAGCATGGGGTGTGGGGAGTTGGTGGCTGGGCAGAGCACAGGTGCTGCTGTAGCTGGAAGGGGTCCCCCAGGAGGCAGGCAGCCCGCCACAGCTCCAGCCCAGGGGGGCAGCTGGTGTCCTGTGCAAAGTGACCTCCCCCTATCCCAGACACTGCCATAACATGGGCCTCGTGGGGACTGATGTGATACCCAGCAGGGCCCTGACACGCGGCTGCCCCGGGCCTCAGTGACTGACATGCCAGCCCAGACCAGGCACTGTGAACAGCAGAAGTGGCTGTGGCCACAGTGTGACTTTGCCCCCATCAGCGGTCGCTGTGACAGTGATTGCTGTGATTGCAGCTTGGCTAGGTGCTGGCAGTGCCCACAGCTGGCTGACGGCAACCAGTGGTGTCCCCACAACCCCCACCAGCTGGGTCCCACCGTGTCCCACCTGCAGGTGGCCACCCTCACTGCTGCTTGCAGGCTGAGAGCCGGCGGATCTTGCTGCTGGCGGAGCAGGCCTTCCGGGTGGGGTTGGAGGCCCCGGCCCGGCACTCAGCCTTGGGTTTGGTGCTCAGCTGTGCCGACTCTGTGCCATTCATGCACACGGCCTTGGGCAGGCCCCGGCTCTGTCCATTCTGACCAGCCTCCTCTTCTGGGACCTGTCCTAGAAGGGAAACGGCAAGTGTGGCCTGAGCCAGGGCACTTTCCAGGGCACTTTCCCTGAGCCAGGCCTGCCCCACCCCAGCACGGGGACTCACCCCAGACCTGCCCAGACTGTGCCTGCCCCCTGATAGTCCCAGATCCTCTCCCACCTGAAATGCCACCTTTTGGTGGCTCTGGGAGGACCCAGGGGCTGCATCTCTCACCAGTGGCCTGCAGGAGTAATCCCCTCCGCCCAGACTGCTGCACCTGCAGTGGCCCCCAGTGGGGTTCCCATCCAGGGAGAGGGAGGCTGGCCAGGGTGAGCCCCAGCCCACGCTCACCCACCTGTCCTGCACGCCCGTGCGTCCTGGGACACAGGAGCCTCAGCACTCACCTGTGAGGACACAGGAGGGCCAGGTTCTGGCCCAGCGTTCGAGACGCCAGCATAAGCCAGCTGGGGACGAGGAGCTCGGCCTGCCAGCAGCCCCCAGCCCCCAGCTCCTGCAGGCTGCCGACCCACACCCTGTCCAGAGGACACTGTCCTCACAAGGGGTTTGAAGCTCGCAGGACACAGACAGCCAACTTGCCCTGCCCCCCCACCAGGAGCCAACACTGCTCAGTTCCATGTTGGTCTGCTGCACCCCTCGCAGAACTCCTAGCAGCTCTCAAGAGCCCAACTCGGAGCCCTCCCCACCCACAAAGGGGCCAGCGCCTGACTCAGTCAGTGGCTTCCAGCATTTTCTGTAATCCACCAAGGTGCACGGGAAGCCACTGGCTTTAGAAAGACACTTTGGTAAGGAGGTGCCACCTCTACTCTCAGGCCTGGGCTCACAGCCCCTCTCTCCACAAATGTGAGGGCTCTGTGCTCCAACCTGATGGGGTCGCCCGGACAGATGAAGGACCCAGTGGGCCTCCACACCAGTGGGCAGAGCCCTTGGGACCTGCCTGCACGGGGGTACCACCCCCTCGTCCCATCCCAGACCTCTGCACCACTGGTGGCCTGGGACCCCATCCTGCAGGGAGCTGCTGGTGCAAAGGCCACTGGCCCCCAGGCAGCTGTCCTGCTTCTAGCAGGGACCTTCTCAGCCCAGGGATGGGGCTCAGGCTCAGAGAGGCACCTCCCAGGCACGTTCAGGGATGCTGAAAGCATGACGGGGACTGTCTACCCCAACGCATCCTAGGCCTCACGCTGGGCCACCCCTCTTGCCCTCTCTGCTGGTGTTTCTTTCCTGGCAGCCACGTAGGGTCAGCGGGGTACAGGAAAGGCAGCCCAGCCTCCACCTCCTCCCTGGGCAGCTCAGGGCTCACACAAGCCCAGGCCCTTCAGCAGGTGCTAGCTCCTGGCCCAGGGGCCCCAGCACGCAAGGGCTGCTGTGGGGTCAGCATGTGGTCCATGTCCCAGCAAATGCTCTGGGGCCCTGTGGGGCTAGCCAGGTCTCCCCTGCCCGCCCTGTCACAGGGTGCCACTGCTCTGAGAGGCAGAAAGCCTCAGACTCAGAGCCAGAGGGACAACAGGCACCGACAGGGGTCTCAAGGTGGACACACCCAGGGACAGGCACCACCCTGCATGCCACACCTCCCAGGACACCCCGGGGCCCCACAGGGAAGGGGCTGGGCTGAGGCCCCAGACACGGGTGCCCAGCAGCAAGTGCCCACTGGCATATCCAACAGGAGCCTCCTGCTCTGTCTCGGGGCATGGCTGCCAAGAACGGAGCCTCAGCAGGGACAGGAGCACCAGGTGCTGCTGGGTCGCTGGGGGACGCCCTGCGGGGTAGGGCTGGCTGTACTGGGGAGGGGAAAGCCAGGCTCCCCAAGGGCCCCTGCTGTGCTGGGACCCTCCCTAGTCTGGCAGTTGTGTCTGTATGCTGGGAGCCTGATCTCATGGCCGTCCACCTGCCCTGCACCTGTCTCTGCCGTAGTAAGACAGAAGCCTCCCCGATCGGTGGCCCAGGCCGCAAGTATCCACCTGCACACACAGCGGGCAAAGCTTTATCACAGCACCTGTGCAAACCGGCCATGGGGCGGACAGAACAAAACTGGGAGCTGAGGGAGGGGCTGGGCTGCCCAAGGAGGGATGGGCAGGGGAGCGGGCGCCTGCGGCTGCCACTACACTAAGGCCTGGCACTCCTCCTCAGGCACCACCACGGTGGTGCCGGCCACCTGGGCTTCCTCTCCAGGAAGGTCTGAGTACTGGCTCTGCTGGGCGCCCGGCTGCTCGCTAAGCCCTGCCTCAGCTGCCTCCTCGTCACCTGGGGAAGCAAGGGCGGTGGCGGTTAGCGCTGGTGGGTGGCCTCGGGGAGGCAGGGAGGGTGGGCCACTGGACCCTCCCTCAGGCTGATGCCTCAGGGGTCCCCCCAGCACCCCAGTTCTCACACCCCAAAAGGAAACAGAAGGAAGCCCGCCCCACCACACCCTTCAAGCTCCCCCACCTGCTCCTGCTGGAACCTGGGCCAGGAAGGGCAGTGGGAGGCACTGGGTGGGCTGTCCGGGGCTGCATGCCCTCGGACCACCAAGTGTGAGTGGGCTGCTCTCACTGGAAGCCTTCAGGGGTAGGATCTGTCACTGGGAATAGACCCGCCCACGGTGGACAGGCAGGCGCTCTGCTCCAGAAGGACGTCCAGGCTGAGCCAGTGTGTCTGGGCAGGAAGGGGCTCCTCACGGCTCAGCGCACAGGGGCACAGAACCTGCCGACTCACCGGGCACTGTGAAGTCCTGAGTGTAGATGATGTCATCCTCGATGTCAAAGAGGTCCTCGTCCTCATCCTCATCCCCGCCGTGCAGGTCTTCAAGGTACGGCACCACTGTCATACTGCGCCACCGGTCCTTGGTGTCTGGGCTGGGTGGGATGGGCACTGGTGCTTCAGCTGGCGGGTGTTTCTTCCGGAACCAGCTGCAAGAGTCCAGCAGTGGCGAAGCCCGTCAGCGCAGGCGACGGGGGCTGGTGGGCGGGACTTGGCAACTCGGCCACCACTGGGCCTGCTGTGTGCACGGGACCTAAGCCTGTGCAGTCCCCAGACGCTTCTCCCACCCCATCCCGTCTGCCACAGCTCTCCCAGGAGCAGGCAGGCCACCAGGGGGTGGAACCAGAGCCCATGCCACGAGGAGCCCTGAGTACCCTACCTGGGCTCAGCTTGAGTCCCACCCTAGTGACCCATAGACAGGGCCAGACTGGCCAGGGCACACGCAGCCCTTCCCTGCTCCTGCTCCTGCCCAGCCTAACGAGCTTTCTGTGCCCAACCCTTCAGCTTACTCATACTGGTCACCAGCTGCCACAGCAAAAGGCCATTCAGGGAGCCCCTTCCTGGGGGGCAGCCCACGGGTCACCCAGATCTGCATCACCTCCACCTCTCAGCTGTCAGGAGGCCTGAGACCCAGTGGACCCAAATGCCATCCCCATAAGCCCTGAAACGTGCCACCGTGATCTATGGCCCACCCAACCGGACCCACCATCCACCCGGGGGCAGCAGGCAAAGGGAGGAGGGGCTTTGGTGGCCATATCCCAGCCCAGGGAGCTGGCAGAGGACAGCCACCTTGCCCGCCCACGCCTCCTGGGGCTCCTGCTCCTGTGCTGGGACAGAGCCAGCCGCAGGCCAGAAGTGGTCCCTGGTGGTCCCATGTGGGACCCACTGTCCCAGGCCCAGGCCCTATCTACTCCAAAGACACCCCTGGGAAAACTTAGTCAAACCCATGCCCTACCTGGCTGCCCCAGCTTCCCATAGGCCACCTAGCCCAAGTCAGCATCAGGCACCCTTGCTCATGGGCAGGCACCCTGGGTAAGGGGTCCCAGCAGAGGGTCCTGAGCCCTAAGGGCTGGGTGAGTGGGGCCCAGTGGGGGGACACACCACCCTGGGCGTCCTGGGCACGTGCTACAACAGGGAAGGCACAGGAGGAAGGGAAGGGGTGAGGCTTTGCCTGCCTCTTCCCCGTGTGTCCTGAGGTTGGAGCAGGGATGACACACACATCTCCACACCCAGACCCCAGGCTCAGCAGACACTGACCCCACTGGCCCCCCAGAGCTGTAGGCAGTGCATACAGTCAGGGGACAGAGAGGGATGGGGGACCACATGTCCAGCCCAGCTGCACCCCCCCACCCCCAGCATCCCCATCAGACCCTGCTCTGGCATCCACTCAGCCTAGACGTCCACCTGGTTGGCCCAAGCCTCTCACGTGTCTGCAGGGTCGGCTGCTCACCTGTGCTGGCGGATCTGCCGTATGGAGAACCTCTTTGCAGGCTCATACTCCAGCATCCCTGGACAGAGGGCAGAGAACCCGTCAGCGCCAGCACCAAGTGTGCCCCACCACCATCACCCGCCCACCTGCCCTGCCAGAGACGACAAGGGTGCTTGGGTGCAGCGTGTCAACCCGTCAAGCTCACGTGTGCCCCACACACTGGGTGGGCACAGCCCGAGAGGCTGCACACGTGTCTCAGCTGCCTCTAGGCTGGGGCAGGCCCAGCAGGCGCAGGTGAGGCGTGAGGCGTAAACACTGCTGTGTGTGTGGAGAGCGGGTGGCCGGCGCCACCTGCTGCCCGCCTGGGAAATGCAGCAGGCAGAGGCTTGGCAGATCCCGCCAGGCTCCCTGGAGGGTGCAGGTTCAAATGGGGTGAACAAAGGGCCCAAACGCAGGCAGGGAACCAGCAAACCAGGCCCTGGTGGGCAGGAGGGATGACGCTGTCCAGGTGCACTGGGGGCAGGGCCTACCTTTCAGCAGGTCAGACAGTGGGGGACCACAGTCGCCTGGGATGGCGTAGCTCCCCTTCCCAATGTTCTCAAACAGCTTGTAGATGTTGTCGCCTTCAAACGGGTACAGGCCAGTCGTGATGTTGTAGCTTTGTTTCCAGGGGAAGGAGGAGAGTGTGTTGGGGTTGCAGCACCCTTGGAGCTCTAGCTCGGGCCTCAGGGACAGCACCTCTGCTCGGCCACCAGAGCAGGGCTCTGTGTGCTCCCACAAGCTGCCTCACGTAGGTGGAATCAGGACTCGCCCCACGCACAGAGTGGGGGGTGGGGAGTGTGGCCAGGGCCTGCCAGGATAGGCCCTCCCTCCCTCGGGCTCTGGGATGAGGTGGAGGGAACAGCTGCACTGCTCTGTGAACGTGCCAACGCCCGAGAGACTGCACCCTTTGAGGGTGAACCATGCAGTGTGTGACTCACATCTCCAAGAGACTGATCACAGGCCCACCTGTGGCTGCCCCAGGGACAGCTGGGCAATGGAAGGTCCTGAACTCCTGGCCACCCTGCACCCGATGGGTCTGAGGCCATGCATGCTCATGTGCTAGGGAGGCTGCAGTCCAGGGCACTTACAGTGTGACACCCGCTGACCAGATGTCCACCTTGAAGCCGGAGAAGGTGTCCAGGCCATTGGCAATCTCGGGCGGCTGGAATGCTGGGGAGCCCTGGCTGGTCCGGCAGGTGTCGTCCACGGCGAATGGGTGCAGAGCCTGGGCAGGGCCACACGGCCGTCAGGGAGCGCCAGGAGGGCACCTATCCAGGGCCCCACAGCGGCGGAGCACCTACCTCAGCGACGCCCAGGTCAGAGATCTTGAGTGTGCCGCCTGTGGTGAGCAGCAGGTTGCCTGGCTTGATGTCCTTGTGCACGATGCCCTGGCTGTGCAGGTACTCCAGACCATCGATGAGCTGGCAGAAGTACCTGCGGGAGGCACGTGCACGTGACCACAGCTGGGATGCCCCTTCTGCTGCTGGCCTGCCCTGGGGTCTCCCCAAACCTCACAGGGGCCCCTTCTGCAGACACAGAGACCTCGAAGAGACAAGAGGAAAGGCTGGGCCCACCTGGGCCCCACAGGGCTGGGGTCACTCTCGCCCAGGCCAGGAACCCCAGGCTTCCCCACTGACCTCACTCCGCCACCCATCATAGGCCAGCTGCACCCCAACATCTTGCTAGACCAGGGAGCCAACATCCTGCCCCCGAGGGACCCATCAGGCCAGCAGGCAGCTGTCAGGAACTTCCTGGGGGAGGAAGCCCTTGGCTACGGGCAGTGGGGCCCATGGCAGGTGGCTTTACAGCAGCTTGACTGTGGATACCACAAACTGAGGTCCCCAAAACTCTACTTAAAAAAAAATAGAACTTTCATTTCAGTGATTATCAGAAAACCCAGCCTGAACGTGGGAACAGTCCCCCAGCCTGGGGCGTACCCCGCAGCACTCACCCGTGCGCCTGGCACACCGGGAACCGCTTCTCAGGCACGCTGTCCAGCATCTCCTGCATGCCGCACACGCAGTACTCCATCACCATATACGTGCGGCGCTAAGGAAACCACGCACAGCAGGCCTGGCCCCGCAGCGGCCGGGCTGGTGAAACAAAACCCACGCGCCAGGGCGGAGGGCCCAGGATGGTGCAGGCGTCCCACAGAGGCAGTCCAGGCCCCTTTGTGCTGTGCCCGTGGCCTTCTGCACTGCCCCCAGTCTGTGCCCACAGAGGACCAGAGCCTGTCCTGCCCGGGAGACTCCCTGAAGCAAAGGTCAGGGCCCCGGAGGGCACCACATTCCTGCAGGTGACTCATGCCCCCACCCTGCCCACAGGCAGAGGACAGAGCCTGTGGACCCCCACCAAACAGGCTCAGGAGTCGATGTGAGACAGCCATAACCCACATGGTGGGCCCTTCATGCCAGAGACCCAGGAACCCAGCTTGGGGTTCTTACTCTGGGCCTGTGTGGAGGTGCTGGGCCGTGGCACAGGGCACATGACCAACGTGACCCAGGAAACAGCACTGGGTCCTATTTGGAAGAGGACCAGAGCCCCACAGCCCCAGAAGTCAGGGCTGCGATGGGCTGCAGAACAGTCGCAATAAGCTATTTCTGAGGAGCTGAGGGATGATGGCCACTGCTCCTGTGTGTCAGGTGCCGGGTCAGAAGGACTCGGGGTCCCACGAGGCCCTGCAGACAGGGCCACTCACGGGACAGACAGATGCCCCACATGCCCCAGGCCTCGACTCGGAAAGGATATATCTTCTGCTTCTCCTCATTGTACAGCACGTCCACCAGCTGGATAACATTTTTGTGCCGTAACCTCCTCAAGAGCTGAATCTCCCTGGAACCAGGAGGATCCCAGCGTCAGTGACAACAGCCTCCAGGGCCTGGCCTCCAAACCAGGGCCCTGCCACAGGCACAGCAGGGGCTGCCACCCTGGGGACACAGGACTCCTGCTCCCTCCACTGGGAGAGGAGCAAGTGGTTCAGTCACCGGCCGGGCCAGGAGACCCAGAGAGGCTCTGCAGACGGCCCAGCACCCTCTGGGCGGGCAGCTCTGCCAGGCCCTGGGGAGGCCTTGGAGAGGGACAACGCAATGAGGATGCTCTCCATGCATTTTAACCAGGAATAAACAGCTTCTTCGTGAGGAGGCCACTGCGATGGCAGTACAGATGAAGCACCCACTGTACGCGGGAGCCGGGGCGACATGGGGCCGCCTACGGGTCCAACGCGTGGCTCTGCCAGGCCGTGCCAGCCCCACCCTGCACTTCCCCAGGACTCCCTCCTGCTCAACTTCTCCACGGGCCCTGCTCCCAGGGCACCCGGGAGAGCCGCGGGTAAACAGAGGCGCAGCCCATGGGAGAGGGTGCAGGAGGAAGAGAAGTACCAGGGATGGACGCTGCAGCACCCCAGCCCGCCAGGCCCTGGCCACACCTGCCACCTGTGAAAAGGGCCAGTATGCAAGGCCCAGCAGGCCACACAGCACTTCCTACTTTGCGGCTGGCGGCCTGACACAGACGCTCAATTCTCCAAACAAAGCGACCAGCAGTGAAGCCCTCAAACCCAGTAGGTGGACAAGGAAACCAGCCAGCCATTCCTCCAAAGGTTAAAGACTTACCCTGTGACCCAGCAATTCTACTCCCAGGTACACACCCAAAGGACAAAATTATATGTCCACACAGAAACCTGTACATGGATGTTCATAGCACCACCATTCACAATAGCCAAGAGGTGGAAACAGCCCAGGTGCCCGTGGACAGATGAAAAAAAAAACATGGTTCATCCACACATGGAGTATCACTCAGCTGTGAAAAGGGACGAGGTCACAGTGTGGATGGACCTTGAGGACATCGTGCTCAGAGAGAGACGCCAGACACAGAAGGACACACAGTGTGAGACTCCATTTATAAGAAATGTCCAGAACAGGCAGATCCACAGAGACGAGACGTGGATTCATGGGTGCCAAGGGCTGGGGAATGACTGCTGATGGGGATGGGGCTTCCTTTTAGGGTGAAGAGAATTAGAGAGAGGTGGTGGTTGCACAACAGCATGAATGTGCAAAACACCACTGAACTGTGGGCTATAAACGGGTGAGTTGTATAATATGTAAACTGCATATCAATGAAGATATTTTGTTTTTAGAGATAGGTCTCACTGTGGCCCAGACTGGAGAGTAGTGGCATGATCACGGCAGCCTCCAACACCTGGGCTCAAGTGATCCTCCTGCCTCAGCCTACCAAGTAGCTGGGACTATAGGCAGGTACCCAGCTAACTTTTTATAGAGATGGGGTCTTGCGAAGTTGCCCAGGCTGGTCTTGAACTCCTTCCTGGCCTCACGCAATGCTCCGAATATGCCTCCCAAAGGGCTGGGATGACAGGTGTGGGCCACTGTGCCCAGATCTCTTTTTTTTTTTAAATCTTCAACAGGAAGCCCAAGCATGAAACAAAAACCTGGGTAGGAAAGGGGTGTCCTGTCACTCAGCACAACCCAGCCCCACCCTGAGGGCCGGGCCCCATAAGAAGGCCACCTCTTCTGGGAAGCCTGCTCTGACCACTGCCCCGGCACACGCACCTATAGCCCCAACACTACAGGGCTCAGCACTTGGTGTAACCTCAGAGGGAAGGGACAGGGCCTGGCTGGGTGTGGAGGAGCCCGGGGAGAGGAGAAGGGAGAGGGAGGGGGTTAACAGGAAGGGGACATTAAGGGACACTGCCTCATGAGAGGCTACATCACAGCATGGCAGGCACCCAGGCCATGGGGGAGTCAAGGGACAGGATGCATGCAGCAACGGCTCCCTGGGGCCCACCGGGACAGGCTCCCTCCTGTCTGCGAGGGCTGCTCCATGAGTGCATGGTGGACCCAGGAGGCCCTGTGGGCTCAGCCCCAGGTCACCCTCCACTGCCCAGGGTTTCTTGTGGCCCTGAGAGCCACAAAGGAGGGTCTCAAGCCCATCCACGGCATTGCACGCTGGAGCCATGGGAGGCGGGACATGCCTTCGCTTCACAGAGGCAGCGTGGCAGTGCCAGGCTGCTGTGTCTTCAGACGGGGACGACCTCGAGCCACTGCCAGGCCTGAGGTGGATGCTGAGCTCCCCCCCCCAGGAAGCTGCCGCCTCCCCAGATGCCAGGGCTGAGAGAGGGGCCTAGACATAGCTGCCTGGCCTCAGGGGCTCCTGTGCCCACTGCCTCAGGGATGCCCAGGCCAGGGGAGGGCAGAGGCCGGGCACTGGGACATCCGCATTGTGAAGGTGTATCACCCCTGCAGCTGGGCACTGACGGCAACCCTGCCCCTCACAGCCCCAGCCCACCCCCTGACGTGCACCCTTCTCAGTGAGGTCCAGGGCCCACCCTGCCTGCCTCCTCAGCACCCCTGCCCAAGGCAGGGCCCAGCCCACCCCCACCCCAGGCTCCAAGCAAAACCCCAGCCACACAGAGGGGACAGTGAGGCCAATCCAGGGGCTCAACCCACGTGCAGCCTCCTCAAACGCCAGGAGGGGAAAAGCTCCCCGGAGGCCCATCCTTGGCAGGCTGCACCTGCACTAAAGGTGGGACCTTGGTCCCAGAACATTCTGGAGCTGGCCATGGCCCGGGGTTGGCAAGCATCACCTGCCGGCACTGTGTCTGCTGCCCAAGCCCTCGTTCTGCACATGGGGAAACCAAGCCACAGAAGGAACCCCCCGCCCCCTGCCTTCACCGTTCAGGCTGACTAGAGCCCTAAGTGCAGAGCCTCCCCTGGGGTCCACCATGCAGGTTCCGAAGCCCCGTGCCAAAACAGCCTGGCAGGGAGGGACCTTGGGAAATGCCGTTTAACATGCCAGTGGGTGCAGGGCCCCAGCACCCACAGGCCCCGCCCTGCTGAGGTCCGAGGACCACACACAGTTAGATCCACACACTGAGGTTGGGGTGGGGGGACCCCAAGTTACCATCGAGTATAACATGCACTATGGGATGCTAATAGCCCTGACTTCACCACTATCCTTTCACCTATATAACAAAAACCCCTCATACCCCTAAACCTATTGAAATAAAAAATAAATTAAAAAAACCCAGACGCTGAGTGGGGAGAAAGGACGGAGTCCCAGGAGCTGGGGGCTACCTGGTCTACACTGCCTGCCCCTGGGAGTTTGTTCTGGTGTCCAGTGTGAATAGAAGGTTTTTCTTCCACATAATGAACTCAGGGTCTCCCCCTAGGCACTGGGGACACTGGGGCTGTATCGTTCTCTGGGGTGGGGCTGTCCTGGGCACTGCAAGTGCTGAGCAGTGTCCTTGCCTCCACCCCCAGTCGTGACAACTACAGATGTCCCCAGACACTGCCCAAGTGACTCCTGCTGCCTCCCAGAGCCCACTGCCCTGCCCTCCAGTGCAGCCCCTGCCCCTCGTCCTAGCCACTGGGTCACTCGTGGGATGGCGTCTCCAGACACCCCTCTGGGCCAGGTGCTGGCTCCATGGCCTCTGCCCTGTCCAAAGGCCACATCCAGTGCAGTCGCTTTGACACTCCAAGGACACTCCAGTCACTGGTGGCCTCACCTACCTTTAGGACCACCAATCTGCCCATGGAGTCACCTGATGCCCCCCAGCTCCACCCACAAACACCCAGCACTTCCCAGCAGCCCAGCGCTCTCTCACGGGCTCCAAGCACCCCATGCCCGCCCCAACCCGAGCCTCCTGCTTCCGTCCGACAGGCACCCACATGCCACCGCCACCTGCCCCACTCTGCTTCCCAAGGTGCCCAAGGACAAGCAGGAGACACCCCAGCAAAGCAATGTGAGGGCTTCTCTGTCCCCTCTGAGCTTCAGCAGAACAGCCAGCCCTCATGCTGTCCTGGGGACCCAGGGGGTGAGTCGAATCACCCCTCCCCCAGCACCAGGTCAGGTCTCTAAGGCACTCAGGTGCAGGCAGAGCAGGCTCCTCTCAGAGACTGTCCTCCAGCACCTGCTGTTCACCAGCCAAATAAACACTTGCTAAGCTCCTACCTGGGCCAGCAACTGGGGCTCAGAGACAGGTACAGGGCACCTGCCCTAGAGGACTGCACGGGGCAGCTTCAGTGTGCAAAGGAGCGTTCAAGACGCCTCACGGGAGAAGGGAGTGCATGTGGGATGCGAGCTTAGTTATAATCAGCAGGTCCCTGGGACGCCACACGGATGCAGACCCCAGCTCCAAACAAGACCAGAAACGGCCAGCACAGACCAGCACCACTGCAGACAGATTCCTAGACGCGAGCTGACTGCAGCTTCACAAGGTCGGAGCTCGAACTCTGGAAACTTCCTCAGACCTCTCTCCACCTGCAGACAACTTCAGTACTTTCCACGGCACTAAAACGTCTGTTGACACAACAGTGCCCTGGATACAACCAGGCCTCACCCCAGGGCTGGGGGGCCATCCGGCCTCAGGTGGCCTGGACTCCGACACAGCACCAGCGAAACCGTAGCAGCTTCAAAGCCGAGAGCAGGCACAGGGACACCCCCTACAAGCCAGGGTCCCTGGCAAGTTCACCCCAAAGTTATAACAGGCCACAGCTCTGCATCGCCAGGCCCAGGGATAACACAGGACCAGACGTCCTGCCTCTAGCCACTGCTGTCAGGCAAAATTACCCCCAAACTTCTTCCTCGCCAAGAGAAGTTATCGCCATTGAATTCCAAGCAAAGGCAGACGACAGTGCCCTTTCCTCTGCAAATCAATAGCTTAATGCTCTCACTCTGACGTCAACAAACTCTCTTCTAAAAAAAATAAATAGAAAGGTCTGCGCTCTGCAAATAGGCTGGTCTGCTCTAGCTGTGTGTTGATTATGCGCTGGTTTCATTAAATGGGACCAAAGTGCCCTGTGCAAACGTGCAGATCACAG